ATTGTCATAGTTTTACAGAAGTCGTTCCACGGTAACTCTGTGGTTAGTGCACAACATTTCATGCACAGTCATATAAATTTTAATCGATATCGACATCCCGATATGAGATTTTTCCTTGGCTATTTACTATTATAGCATCGACTAGACGATGCACCTATCTTGATTTGGACATGTTCTGGGTCACGGTTATTGTCATAGTTTTACAGAAGTCGTTCCACGGTAACTCTGTGGTTAGTGCACAACATTTCATGCACAGTCATATAAATTTTAATCGACAAACATGGGGTTATAAAGGGGAATTAGATGAAGAATGTAATATGTATATAAACGGGCATATGCGCATTCCTGATATCCTGAGTTATATATATATATATATGGGCCAAAGAGCCAATTCCTGACTTGAAGCCGTGTTCCCGGGACGATTTACGGGGAACCGATTTATATACATGAATTATTCTTCTCTAATTCAAATAACATGTAAAAATAAGACATATTGTGGGTTTCTAAATCTTACCTCATTTTAGTATAGGGTATAAGATGTATGCTTTGGGGTAGACCTTGTTGATATACATGTTTAGAATTTTCCTTTATCATCTTTAACTGAGGTTTCATCTTATTTTGATTTATAAGAATAGTTTTTCTTTTATCACTGAAATTTTAAAAATTTATCTTTTCTTTATACCTACCACTTATACTTACACATGCACAAGTTTCTCATTTTACATGCTTGCTGGGAGTTTTCTGACTCCCCTGGGGTTTGCATGCCCCAGACTTGGGAATTGTTCTTTCTTCGCAGGACCAAGAGTACTTTAAGGATTAAGAACAGCAACAGTGATCACCTTCTATCTCTCAGCTTCAGTTAATGAGTCTTTCTTGTAATCACTTGTGGTACTTCAGACTAAGATGTATTTTTCTCTTTCCTACTTGAATAGTTGTGGACATGTAAGAGAACTTGTCTTTTCAGAGATTTCTTTATCTACCTATTTTCCTTGTTATCTTAGTTACATGCTCTATGTAGTAGTTCTTTCAGCAAAATATCTGTATACAGGATGATCCAGAGGCGTGAATGTGACCGTATGGTTACATTGCCGGCCGAGTCACGCTCCAAATTATCACGTTTTGGATCCGGGGCGTGACATAATAGGTATTTGGTTTTCTTTGTTGATGACTGTTCTAGGCATGTTTGGGTTGCAACCAAGTCCCGTTTGAGTGAAGTCCCAGTAGTCAACAACTGATGGAAGAAGTGTATAGAGACCAAAGCAGACAGAAATGACAAAGTACTCCGTTTTGATTTTGGTAGAAAGTATAAGAGGGATCCATTTCTGCATTTGTGCCGAGCTCAAAGCAGTTTGAGACGCTTCATTGGAAAGGAAACATTGGGGCAACGAGATGAGATGGCAAATTTGATAATTTATTCTTTGCTGGAGAAGGATCAGTGTTTGGTGTCAAGCAGTAGTTTAAAGAAGAGTTTTGGTACTGAGGCTTTGACATATTCGAGCCATCTTATTCATAGGTTGTCGTCTACTGCGATTGGAGTATTTGGGTTGTTAGAGTTGCTTCAGATTTTGGTTTGCTCTAGATATTTGGGTTCCCAGCATATTGTCACATCGAGGATGTGAAAATTGATCCAAGTGCATATTTGGAATTCAGAGGCACGTTTGGCTACATGTTATGGGACTCTGTTTTCAAGAAGATTGTTCTGAGCAGTAATGTCACGTCTGACTCTCAGCAGGTGGAGAGTATTGGTCAGATCAGAAATGTATCATAGCAGGTGGAGAGTGATGCTACCTCATGTTGGGTGGAGATTACTCCACGTTCTCCAGATCATTCTGTATTGTTTGGGATTCTAGCTGAGGTGACACAGATTGGGGATCATGTTGGCGTGGATAAAAATAATGAGTTTGAAGATCATGATTCGAGTGCAGTAGGTGGACACAGTTCAGATTTGGCTATGGTCGTTGGCTCACCTCAGGTAGAGGTGTTTGGTAATTGTGTTTCTTCTACATATAGGGTTGAGGGGTTAACCTCCAAGACAGATTTGGTGTGGAGAGATGCAAGTTTGGAAGAGAGTTTATCTTTTCATTTTGAGGCCATTAGGAGTGTTATCAGCTGCAAATTTGTTGGTGATGATCGTAAAGTTGGTGAAGGGTTGAAAATCCTTCTAGTTGATTGATGTCGTTTACGGCCATTTGGGTGAATTACGTGAGGCTTGATTCCTTAGGCAAGAGGATACGTATGCAGTTATTTTTTGTGCAGCCAGCTTGATGAGTTGATACTGATATGGTGGAGATTGTTCGCATTCTCATTTGGTTCCCGACTTGTTGTGGATTGAGTCCGTTGTCGTGGATTGATTCCACTTTGTACTGAACGCAACAAGTGAGACGTTTGGTTGGTATTGGTGTCGACTCATTTTTGAAAAAAACTTCACCGAGGTGAAGATTTGTAGAAACGACAAAAACGGCAAAAAAGTACAGGAAAAACGAAGCAAATAGGCATTTGGATGCTGGTCGATTGACCGTGGGGCTTGGCCCGGTCGACCGAAAACATGCACACTACATGGTGCATTTTTGGATCTCTAGCCGGTCGACCGCGAGGCTAGGACCGGTCAACCGCAAACCCTGTAATTGCCAGGCTAAGTTTTTAGCCCTCTGGTCGGTCGACCGCGGAAACATGCTGGACGATCGGATCATGTTTTTGGGTCTGTGCTTAGTTTCCTGATCTGTTTGGGTTTTATATTTGATATAAATATGAACACGTTTTTTAGGGTTTCTTTAAGGGAAAAAGAAGAGACTTTTGAGTTGTGTGATTGGGAGATTTGGTGAGAGATTTGAGAGCTTTGTTTAAGAGATTAATTTGTGAGTTTTGAGTGAATTTGTAATCTCTATTTGTACTCTCTCTCTCTCTCTCTAATAGTAAAATTCATCCCCTCCTTACCTCGTGGACGTAGGCAATTTGCCGAACCACGTAAAATTCGTTGTTTGTGTTCATGTTGTTAATTTTTTGTTTGTGTGACCTTCTTTCTCGGCGACTTCGTGTTTCCTCGGACCCCAAATGGAGGCTTCAGAGCCCAACATTAGAGGGAGTAACAAGATCTTAAGAAGCTCATTTCAGAGACGAGCTACGTGTGAATAAAGAGTAATCTCACATTGCATTCTGAAAGGAGTAATGCACATGATGCGGGCTTAGAAATGGTTAAAATTTTAGCTGGTGACATTTTCTACTTTATTGATTTTTCCAATCGAAAGCAGTATCTGTTTATGATTTATCTTGGATCTATCAGTGCCCAATATTCCTCCATCACGCAAACTTGCTTATCCTTTTCATTTATATCCCCCTATGATGTTATTATGACTTACGACCAAAAATACTAGTAGTGATTTGGATGTTCACTGTCAAAGAACGATGTACTTTCTCAACCACAATCTTTCTATCATTTGACTCAAAAAAATTGACAGTCATTCCGAACCTAACACTGAGGATTTGGGCCTATTTCCTTCTTTATTCTACAAGAATCATAATCATATTTTGAGGAAATTCCCAGCGACTTAGCAACAAAGATATTTGAATCCAATGTATACAGCCTTATTACAATTTCTGATTTCAAACTGAACTAAAAACGCCGCCAACAAACATTTTAATATTTCTGTTGATAATAGTGTATTGTAGTGGGTTTTAGTCCCACATTGCTTGGGAGAACAAACCTCACCTCCTCTACTTGTATAAATATATATGCATACTCAATATTCAATTCAAGGGAAATTTACCCAAGATTCTCTCTCTTACTTTAACATGGTATCAGAGCTAGGGTTATTACAATTTCACAGCAGCAAAAATCGTGAGAAAATAAACTTCACAACGAGAAATATGTCGTAGGATTCAACACTCCTGTTACAGTGAAATTATGTCGTTCAGATTTTCTCGTCGTTTTAGAATTTTCCTATAACAAAAGAAACTTCAAAGACCTCTGCATTTCATAATCTACCATCTCGAAGCACTTCAAAAAATAGCAAGAGATTGAGCGAGAACGATGAAGATGGAATATTGAGAATGGGCGTAAATATCGGAATTCCACTTGTATGCTGAAAACAGAGTTTTCATCGAGACAAATTGATCTAATTGACAATGGATAGGATTCAAATCCAAATGAGTTTGAAACTTACTTGAAACTTAATTCAAAATGACTGCCAACAACATTCTAATATTTCCACAAGCAAAAATCATGAGTAGATAAACTTTAACCGAGAGCTATATGCTAAATATTTTCTGCCAGTCTCTGTCATTCACATAGCCTCATTGTATTTCAAACATGCACATAGTGAATAAGCTTTGATAAATCTTATTAATGTCTACAGAAACACAATGCATGTTATAGGTTGCCTCAAATACTCAAATTCATATTGCTTTGGGAGTTTCTTTTCAACTTGGTTTGTTTTGATCAAGAGTCCTACTTACATTCGACTTTGCATAACCAATCATATTAGAGGTTTATTTCTACCTGGACTCTTGTTTAGTTTTAGGACATGTGAACATCTATTCCTATTAAAACTCTTATTCTTTAGACAGCAAGGAGTTGGGATCTTCAAGGTTATATTAAGAACAGTCTTTCAAGTCAATATTTAATCATCAATCTTCAGAGCACCAATCAAGAAGAGAAAGTTCTTTTGTGTAGCCTATTTGATATTCTTCTTTTTTGCTCCTTTAGTTGAGAGTAGTATTAGACTTTTTTTGTGATTTAGGATTGAGAGATCCACTTTGTATTCCTCACAATTTAGTAAAGTTTTCTCCCCCTTCGCCTGTGGACGTAGGCTACAAGCCGAACCACATATATCTTTGTGTTCGAGTGTTCTTGATATTTTTAGTGCTCTCGTGTAATTGATATTAGCTTATCCTGGGGAGTTTGTTATATCAATGCACTTAACTAAACTAAAGAGGAATAACCTCTGACGTAAAAGCAAAACCCCTAAAACAAATAATCAATAAAATCACAATAGGTTAAACATTTTCAATCATCAACAAGCGCTTCTCCTCTCTCTCACAACAGCGTCATAAAAACACTAGAACTCACAGAAACCAAGCAAGTCGCAACACCAAAACCAATTCTATGTGAAGCAGACTTATTGTTCGTTGCCTCCAAAGGCTGAGGAGACGGTGCGTTGTCGCTTGGAGCTGCATTGTCGCTTGGAGGTGTTTGACCTTTAGAAGGCGATGAAGGCACATTTGGAGGTGGTGGAGACTGAGATGGCGACAGAGGCGGCGGAGCACCAAAAATCGCCTCCGGGATCAAAACCTGGTCAACCTGATAAACTGCAACCGGAGCTGCAGAATACACGCTACTACTGATGCTCGTCTTAGTCCACCCAGAACCTACCAGAATCAGACCAGAAGAGTCCTGGATATTCAAAGTGAAAGAGTTTCCCGCCATAGTGGTGACATTTGAATTGGTGAGGTTTTTGGAGAGGTCGGTGAGAGTGTAGAAGTTGGGGAACGCGTGGAAGAGGAGGAGGGAGTTGAGTTGGTTTTTGGTGAGGTTCGAGAGGGAAGGGGCTGCGAGGGAGGAGAAGGCGGAGTCGGAGGGGGCGAAGATGGTGATGCCTTGGTTCGTGTCGTTGGCTTGGTTTTGGAAGGTTTGGATGGTTTGGGCGGCGGTGAGGTGGGCGAGGAAAGTGTGGAAGGGGCCCGCGAGGGATAGGAGGTCGGTGACGTTGACGAAGGGCGGGGAAGGGGAGATTGGCGGTGGTGGTTTGGGCGGTTGTATAGGAGAGTAGACTGATGATTGTCATTAAGATAATGGTGAGAGCCATTGACATGAGTTCCTCCTGCAAGAAAAAATGATGCATACGGCAAGAAAAGCCAAACATGATTCGGAAACGTAAGCGAAATCAGGTTGAGAATTAGGAAATTACCTTTAAACTTCTACTACTTACCCATAAAAAAACAAATCACGTTCAAAAGGTAAAATTATGGGCATCATTGAATCTCATCAAGGATATACCGTCCAAGTCATGACTTCGGTATAAAATATTAGACACTGCCTAATGATAACAAAAATCATAGCTTACTTCAATGGAAAGGTGAAATTCGAGGTAAATTAGAAATAAAATATGTTTGACGTGATTAATATGTGATTATAGTCTCACATTGAATAAGATATGAAAGAATAATGAGTTTAAATAGGAGTTTGGGTCAATATCGAATAACTATAGCTTTGAGTTAAAATTGATTTCTAACTTCTGTTCAAGGTCCATCAATTTTTAATTTCATCAGTCTTGATGATATAATTTTTACTATCAAACCAGTGATACAACTATTATGCATTTTTTATTATGATTTTGTTTTATCTTGCATTCAAGTGACATAATGATCAATTGCTCATATTTTTCATTATCTCCAACTTTTACCGATCTTTAGTAATCTTCTGATTTTTCATTAGCATTATTTTTGTATAGTATCTATCATAGGCACAAAATGTAGCTCTTTAAGATTAACAATTGCAAATATATATAATTCCAATACCCTTCAAAATCACCATAATAGGAATAATTGAGTTATGGTAAAAGAACATCTGGTCACAATAAATTAAGAAAATGATAAAACCCAGCAAAAAAAAACTTAAATTAAGAGCAGTAATTAACAAACAAAATTGTAGAAGCCGAAAAGAAATGAAAGAAAGATCATGAATCATAACAAGAAGCAAGCACATTACTTGATCATGATAAACCATCATTAATAAGACACACATTATAAGCAATTGCTTTGAAAAAAGAAATCATACCCAATAGCCAAAACACTGCAGATATCAAAGAAATATTGAACAAAAAATTACCTGAAGACTGAAGGATCAGGGGTCAGAAGCAAACAAGACAGAGAATGGAGCAGAGGGTGAGAGTGAATTTATAGGGGGAGGTTTAATTGATAGCTGTGAACCATTAGGAGGCAGCTAGGAGAGAGTAAAAGGGGACTAGAACCTAATGGAGGCAATTAAAGCAGGCCTTATTTGGTTATCACCGTTTTTTTTTTTTGGATCATTTTTGAGTTGTGGGCCGTTTCAACACAGTTCTTGTTTTAGGAACCCCGAGGATCGCTCTAAACTATCACTCTACAATACACATGTATACGGGATCTCATTGTATTGTGGTTACAAGGATTTGAATGACTAACATTTCATTAATTATATCTTAATTATATCTTAATATCTACATGTTTACAATTTGTTCCAAATATGATTAATATCATACGTCCATGAATTGTACATGTTTGCATATTTTTTTTGTTCACGATAGATCGTAATTCTCCATCAAATGATAAATGGTGATGTTATGGTAATGATTCAAAAAATGATCTCTTCACCTTATACAATACCGAGAATCTGGATAAAATAATATAAGAATGGGATATCTTATAACTATATAATGTGTATTATAACTGCATGTGCAATATGTTATTTTGGTGGTGGTGATGCCAGAGATATTCCACATGAACCTCTCTTTCATTTATTTATTTATAGGAAACTACCCTACTTGAAATTATAGTCAATAGTAGCATTCCCATAGTAGAAAATGAAATGAAGGTAGAGAAAACAGTCTAAGAAAGTTGGTAAAGATATTTATATTGTGACAAGTTTAGTATGTGCATTAAAACTATGTAGTAAAGGGGTTATCTTTTCTTTTTCTTCTTATTTCTTTTCCCCTCTATTTTAGAAAGAACGTATGAATTTTATTCACCTTGTTTGTTGCACCCTTCTTCATATTTTCATGATGCCCTCTTTAATATATTCAAAAATGGCTAAATATTAGAAAACTTCCCTTAAAATTGGACGATTATCATAAAACCGCTCTCAACTGCAAAATATCATAGAACCCCTTTAAGTTTAGGTGTTATTAGAAAACTCTCTTTTAACTTTGGTATTTTATCGGAAACCTCATAAACTTAGGACTTATATGATTTTCTGATAAAATCCCAAAGTTAAAGGGGGTTTACTGATAAATCTGAAAGTTAAATGGGGATTTTGTGATAATCTCTATACTTAAGGATTTTTTTCTAATATATTAAAAGTTTAGGGTGCGTGTGCGTGCGTGTGTGGTGTGTGTGTGCGGTGGGGGGGGGGGGGAGCTGCAACTACAAAATCTAAACTATATCTATCTATCTATTACCCTTTAAAAGATGGAGTTCATGAAAAACTTCATCCTCCCCAAAATAACCTTCCACCAAATTTAGTTACCAAACGTATCCTCAATTGATAAGCCACTTTACTCTTTTTCATCGGTTACGACCCCAACCCCTCATCTCTCTCCATCTATCTTAGCCTCTCCTTCGCCGTCTTCTTAGGCTTTCTCCCCAAATCCTCCATCCCCTACCTCTCCTCTCTCCAATCCCGCAACCGAATCCTCAAAATCAAGCTCTTCCAGGCTAAGGACCAGCTAAAAACCCTAAGCTCGAGGAGGAAGGGGGATTCCAAGGCCAACGCCCGCGTCGTCGAGATCTTCGCCAGCCACCGCCACACGTGGCAGCAGGAGGAGCGGCGGCTTTTGGATCAGATCGAGTCGACGAACGAGGAGATCGAGGGGTTGAGGGGGAGGGTCGGGGAGCTCAAGAGAGAGGTGAGGGAGAGGGACGAGATGTGGATCTCATGGCGGCGAGGAGAGAGGAAGAGGAGGAGCACGAGGAGGTTAGGGTTACGGTTTCGGAGGGGTTAGGGTTTGGGGAGATGAACGAGATGGCGACGGGTTATTACGCATGGGAGAAGGAGAGGGATTCGAAACGATGGGTGGAGAGAGTTGCCAGCGGGCGGTAGCAGGTAAATAATTTTTCCCTTCACTTTTCCTTTTTTTAAGCAATTTATCAATTTTGTTTGTTTTAGAAATTCAGGTATCCTTTATGGGAAAAGAGCTATTAGGAATTTTTGTTATCCTTTTTTTTCTCGTAAATTTTGATTTTATTTTGAAAATTCTTAATGATTAACTAGATTGATTTCATCGAACGAAATGGTGGTGGCTCATTTTCTAACCCTAATTCGATCCGTACTCACAAAATACCACCTTTCTCACCAAAATCGAATAAAGGCGCCGCCATTTATTATCAAACTGTTCGCTGCTCGGTGGCGAACAAGCCCTCGCCGTCCGCTGAGGTCAGGCAATTTCTTATTTCTCAACCTTTGAATTGAATTTACAGGGTTTTTTTTTTGTTCGAATTGGAAAATTAACTAATTTAATTGGGGATTCGGGAGAGCAGTACGCTAGCTTGATTGAGAACTTGGGTAGGTTTAATTTTGAAGGATGTTATTTGTGGTTAGATTAATTAGGAAGATGCTCTTACTAGAATTAAATAATTTGTATATCTGATCCCAAGTTTTAATGAACGGCGGTTTCATTCTTCTTCGTCTTAACTCCTATATACTAAACCCTAGATCTAAGCTTTAGTTATGCTCAATTCACACTATCCCCTTTTAGTTTTTCAGTCCTTTCATTTTTTTCTAATAATTTTGCCCTATTTCTCCATTTTCTACAGATTCAAGCGACAAGTATTTAAAAAATATGAACAGCAGCTATATCGCGACTATAAAGTAAGTTTAGTTTAGTTGAGTTATTTTATTTTTCAGGTTGTGATTTCGCCTGTGATTTCTTTTATTATTTTTTTATATGATTCTGATTTGGTTCAGAATCACAAAGGAGAACGAACCCTTGGATGATTGGAAATTATGCAACCATAGATTCTATTTATTTAGTTGATACGTGCAAAGGAGTTCCCTTGGATGACTGAAAATTATGAATTAATTGCTATATCAATCCTGTTTTGATCAATCTAATATCAATTGTGTAACCAATAGATTGAAGATATGAATATGTTCAATATTAAAAATTTGGTGTTGATGTACATTCATTAGAATTGAAGCCACAATCATGACTTATCTAAGAATTGAAGTCAGTAGATGATCTGAATGTTAGAGTGCAAGTCGGAGAAAAGACAAATGGATTACTGGTTTTTTATTTCTGAATGTCTTTTGTAAATTTTAGAAGATCTATTAAGTATTCATTGGGTCAAATCTCATGGATAGCAAATGGCTGCTCATGCTTATTTCAGTCAAAATTAACACTTTTGCTATTTGCTCTGGGGAAATCATCATGCGTGCTAGAAGTTGATCTTAGTTTAATTAAAATCATTTTAATGATTTACTTTCCATAGAAGATTTACCCTTTTATGATCAGCAAAATTTTCAATAATTTTATACTTGAATATTATAGTCTACGTTGCATGGAAATAAGTATAAGTGCAGGTGCAGGTACACATCGCTTCGGCACCCAAAACATCATTTATGTTATTTTAATTTCCTTTTGCATTAAGGTTTTCTACATTCTCTGCAGATTGTCCTTTTGCTTCTGGCTCTTGTAGCAGTTCCATGGATGCTATTTCCGAAACCATTCATCTTAAGGAGGCTTCACAAAGAGGTAGATGATTTGGTTTACAGGGGTTTTTCCAATTCACTACTTTATTGAACAAGTCAGTCTTTCTGTATGTTTTAGGATTAGAAATTGGCAAGAGAATGAGGGTAAGCAAAGCACTTTAATAAAAAAATCACATTTACTTTTCATTCATTTTTGTTGCATCAGAATTTTTCATTAAGAAAATAGTTTACAAAATGAGTATATGAGTACAACCAATTTCTGTTGTACACCATCTTGGTGAAACGACAAGTAGAAAGGACGCTTCTTATCTGTTATTGGTTTTGCAGTTCACGTGTCCTGGTCTGACCATTATCCTTTGTGTTTCCACCAAATTTTCGCCTTATTTTAAACCTTATAAATTAACCCATAAAGAGATATCGCATAGAGCAGGAAAACAACAGCTAATCAGTGAGAATGAGTGTACCAACTGTAAATAAATAATTACCTTCAAAACACTACTTTCCTCATAATTTTATCTATCGGAGCTTGTGCAATCAACTTTATCCTTTATCCCTATATTCAAACAGGTTCCTAGACATACTATAGTGAAGAAGCTGATTTACAATTTAAAAAATTCCAAGTAATTTGATCAGGGACTCCATCACAAGTTGGCATAGATTTAGCGGAGTTGATTAAAGAACATAAGTACTCTCAAGTTCAAGAACTTCGTAAATATCCTTTACATTTCAAAATCAACCAACGAAAACCACAGTACCATTTGCATATTATAAAGAAGTTGTACCCAAAAGAAACCAACCATAACAAGCTTCGTACCTTTAGAATGTAGCTTTGTACCTTTAGAATGTATTTTGGTAAACACATCAACTACGGTAAAAGCAAGAAGGGATAAAGGATCCCCCTGTTGACATCCTTTCTTATTAATCAAAATTTCCCCCTTCACAATGATTAACCATGACTATGTAGGTGCACAACAGCCAGCTATAAACATCTGGTAAAGATACGGATTTTTTCGAGAAATGTTTTTAGCATGTGGGACTTTTAATTAAAAAAAAGACCAATTAAGTTATCATAACTTTCTCAAAATTCAATTAGAGTAAAATACCCTCTAAATTGTTGGCATCGCATTCAGAATAAGTTCTTGAGAAAGCTATAGAATCAAGAATATATCTATTTTAGATAAAAGCAAAATGAGTTTTGTTTATTAATTAATCAAAGCACCAATCTAAGTCCATTAGCTAAAATCTTCATAAATCTTAAAACAACAGTTTAATAAGCTTAAAGCTCCAAAGTACATTTGTTTCCCTCGACCAGAGTTAATTTGATCTTATTTTGATGGACTGTACTGAAGGTGACTGCCAATGCTGGCAAGCCTGGAACTAACATCTGTTGAATCCGTCTATTCTTAAATTGGTGGAAGTTTAAACAAAAGCAAACTGAGCTTTGTATAATAATTGATTGATCACCAATCTAAATCTTCTAGCTAAAACCATCATAATCTTTAAAAACAGTTTAATTAACTTAGAGCTCTCAAAGAAAACTTGTTTCTTGTTGTAGAGATAGCTTGTAGATGGATTGTGCTTAAGGTGATTGCCAGTACTGGGAAGCTTGAAACTAAAATCTGGCGAATACGTCTGTGGTTAACACGGTTAGAGTTACTGGAATGTTCCTGGACTGAAGTTACTTTGTTAGTTTGTTTCCTCTGAAGTGTTTCTACAAGATCTTTTGCTTTGGAGAAAACATGACTCTGTATATTTTGATTTTATAGCCTAGGGGTGAAATTAATATTCTACAAGTCACGAAACTGCCTACCATTTATCATTTTATTCTTTTTATCTTTTAATTATTAAAGCACTACACTTTTCAGGATGTTATATATCTTGAACTTGAGAATATCTTGGAAGTGATAATTACACATGAAATACTTACCTGCCATGCTGCAGTGTCCTTATATGCTGCTTTATCCAATGTCACCTAGATTTCAAGGTCGTACTTATGGCATGCTGGGTACATCAGAGATGGATCTGGATGTCGAACCTGATTCTGCTAGACTTAGGCACCACCACGAGGATTTCAACTTCAGTGAAATGTTTGTGCATAAGATGATCCATTCAATTGAATTTGTATTGGGGGCTGTCTCAAACACTGCATCCTATCTTCGACTTTGGGCTCTGAAGTAAATCATGGTTGGCCAATCACTTTTGCATCTTTAATTTCTTGATGCTGTTAGTGTCTCAAACGTTTTGTTTGATGTGTCAAAGTTTTCCCTCAAATGTAATAGTATAGCAATATATTTTGATCTTGTCCCTTTTACAGTGGGAAATGCAGAACTTCACCCAGAAGTTTGTTGGAATGATGAAATCAGAAAATATATTCCAATGGCAGGTTGACACTATTATCGTATCTCAGGTTACAAGTTTTCAACATTATCTATACAAATTTATAGTAATACTGTAATACCCCAACCCTTGAGAGGGTGATGTGATTAGTATTGATAGATTTGATTGGAATACTCATACCACCAAGATGCATCTTCTTTTCGGGAACCCAACTCTTAGAAATTCCAAAGTTAAGCGTGCTTAGCCTGGATAAATTCTAGGATGAGTGACCCCCTGGGAAGTTTTCCAGGGAGCACGTGAGTGAGGACAAAACGTGCTGAAAAGACATGTGGTGGTTTGTGAGGCCAGTCCGTCAGATCTAGTAGCGTACCGACCCCGGAATTCCGGGACGGGGCGTTACAAATACTAATATTGCTTGTATCGATATTATATTATTTATTGCTATATTTTCACAGATTTAGATTGAATTTAGACATCTAGAACGGGATCAGGGGGCTCCAGCAAAGGCTTATGCAGGTTGGGGAGCGAAAATGAAACTCGACCTTGACACTGGGATTCAATGGATCATGTGCAAATAAGATGATGCACCTGATCCTATTGTAAGTTTCTTCTTCTCTTTTTTAAATCATTTTGGATTCCTTTTCATTGTCAGCTTAGTTAAATAATTTATAATTGTGTTTGCCTTCTCTCCAAGGACCCACTGCACATGCTTTAGTAATCTTATATTCTATCTCACTACACCTCTTTAAATAGTCAAATTGAATCATTCTTAATAGTAAAACATTTTCTTGAATTCGTATAGATTAACACGTGGAATGGACTTTGTGACAGAGGCTTTCATCAAAGGTCCTTGCGTCTTGATAGGAATGCCTATCTAGCAATTTAAAACCAGATCTCATTATTCTTTAAGATTTTTACTTTCACGCAATGTTTTTGCTCATTTACAGATACATGCACTGTCAGTTTGGTAATGTGATAATCACATTTTTATTACAATTTTATACCCTCATTATCTATTTTATATGAATAAATATATCACTAATAATTGTTTTTTATCTTTTAATTACAGGTTAATGAAGAATAAACCTCAACTTCCCATCTCTCAACAAAAACCCACTGATTAAATGAAGAAATGATTCAAGAAGCCTAAGTGCAATTTTTGACTTTTTGAAGCCCAAAGTCCATCAAGAAAAATGATTACACCAAAGACTTGGTGGACTTGGATGAAAAAAAGTGGAATGGAATGGATTTTTATGCAAAGATTACATGATGACTGGTTTTGGACTTGAGTGCTGCATGGGAAGCATCAAATGGCCGGTTGCACAAGTGGGCTGGAGTTAATTTGGGCCGGATCTCAAAGTGCTAGGCTGCAGACTTGGTTTAATGCAAGGGACCGGACTTGCTTGGGTTTTCTCAAAAAAAAAAGAAGAAAAAAATCAAATGGGAATTTCACATTGTGGGCCGGTCTTGGATGCAGACTTGTACCGGACTTGGCTGAGTTGAAAATGGAGAAAATCAACAGAATGATGACCGGACCTTCCTTAGTTGTTGAAAATTTGTATGGGCCGAAATCAAGGTGCTGCAGGTGTGGAATTAAAACCGAAATCAATGTGCTGCAGTTTTTTTTTTTTTAAATGAAATGGACTTTCAAAATTTGTATGGGCCGGCTGCTCTTCATTGGACTTGATGGCTGAGAGTTGATTTTGAAAATAAATTGGAGCTCTCATGAATTGCATTGGGCCTTGGAAAATCAAATGAAGATTGGAAAATCAATTCAAAGGTGGAGATTGTAGCTTGGGGCTCAAGACAAATCCAATGGCTCATATTCATTGAAGATTACTATAAATAGGGGTAGAGAGTGAGGGGTTAAGGGTGTGAAAATTTTTGTAACTCCTTTTGGAGAGGAGGGCTACTCTTAATTGAGAAGGCCTTCCAAAATTGTAACTTTAGTTGTAATTAATAATAATAATTTTTTTTACCACTTTAAATTTTTCTCTTCTTCTCTTTATTGGATGATGAAGATGAAGATGAAGATGGAGAATTATTTGAAGGTTTGCATTTCTTTTCTTTTTCTCTTTTATTGCTTATTAGTGTAGATTTATTTCTATGCTTGTAGTTTAGATTTTATTTTCTTGTTAAATAGCCAAGAGACTAGAACCCTCTCGCCTTAGATTTATTTCATGCTTATAGAATAGATTTATTTTCTTGCATTTAATTCTTGTAATTTTATTTTGTAGTTTAGATTTTGTAATTTATTTTGTAGTTAGATTTTAATTTCTTATACTATTCACCTTGAGGCTAGAACCCTCTTGGGTTTAGTTTTTCTTTTTGTTTATTTTTATTTTGTTTGATTCGCCTTTAGGCTAGAACCCTTTAGGAAATCACCCTTTTCTAAGAAGTGGGTTCAATTGTAGATTACCCATATCTATAATTGAATCCACCATCTTTAATTTCTTGCATTTTCTTTTATTCTAGAATTTTGTTATTCATTCTTGATTTTTTTTTGTTTCTTTATTTTATTCATTTTTCCTTCTCACCTTATTGATCATACTCATTCTTTTTTCAAATCCACTCTCACTTAAATTTTGCGCCGTTTCACACACTATCATTTTCACTCTCTCAATCTCTTCACAATCACATTCACTTATCACTCCTATTTGTCACGCACACAAAATAAGAACCAATTTTATATTTTCTCCTACAAAATTCCTTCCTCGTGGGATCGATATCTTAAATACTATAACTTGACACGGTTGTGCACTTGCAACCTTTTTGGTACATGTTTATGCCGCATCAAGTTTTTAGCGCCGTTGCCGGGGAGGGTGCTTAAGTAGGTTTTAATTATTTTGGTTCTTTAATATTTTTCATAGTAGTATGTAGGGTAAAATAATATTTTTCATTTTCACAATAACAGTATTTGAAGTATCAGCCATACCATGGCATGTGAAAGACAGTTCAATAACTAATTGCTTGATGTTATTCGTATAGTTTCATGTTTCAATACTTCATTTTTAACCTTTTACCTCAAACCCTTCTCCATTCCTTGGTCTTAAAACCTTGAGTAATCTATAGATGGTTTCCATGCTTTGTTATGGACAGGAATAAATTGTGGGTGTAAACAAATATGAATAATTAAAATAGATAAATATGATCTATGTCTGATTTCATATTAATCTTTTGACAAATATGAATATATATTACATGTCCTATTAAATATGGATTAGAATATAGCAGTAATAAATTTTGAGATATTAAGTATATTTAATATATTAAAAAGGTACATATTTTGGCTATGTCCAATACTAGATGGTGCAATGTTTATTGTTAGACCTTTATATATTTGTATCATTCTAATATCAGGAAAGACTTAAAATAAGGTCACTATTTCTTGTTTTTTTAAGGTAATCTCCCAACCGTATTGACTAATATCCAACTATATCCCTATGTGAATTTTTAGAAATTATGGATATTAACTTTAGTATTCAAACAAAATATCTTATGGATATTAACTTTAGTATTCAAACAAAATTTCTATCTTCATTTGTATATGCTAAAGGAATATAATATCAAGATACTACTATTCTGCTCTGGATCACCCTAGAAGCAACACTTGAAACAAACTCATAGACGTAGATGGCTATTACTCGCTGTTCTCTTGGTTAACATAGTTTTTTAAGGAAAACAATTCCTTAATAAGTTAGCAATGATTTGTAAAGCACAAAGTAAAAGGGGCCTATGCAGTGGACATGCACAAGTTCTACATGGAATAAAGGACTTATGTATCATAGTAAACCTGATGAACCAATTGAGCATCTAGATGTAAGTCCATACATTTAGTTAGTTCATATCACAATAAACCAGCGTGGAGCATTCTCAACCAAGCAGTGCACCTTTTTTAGAGGGCAGTTTGGACTTTTCACTCTCCCTTATTTGGCTCAGGTTATCCAACGCCATGCAAGGTTCTGATAGAATTCCTGCACCCTTCTGGATACTTCACTTTCATCCATTAGCATAAAATGTGATATTTTGTTACCTCATATTTGCAAGTATCATGTCTTTTAGTTCAATCAAGTAGAATGTTGGTGTATTTCATGGCTCACCTATGTCAATTTAGCTACTGTCATTTTAGCAATTCAATGCAGAAAGGGGCAACTTTTCCTAAATATTATATTATTGATTGTGATTGGTATTTCTCTATATTTCCAACATTTGGACATAGAATGTCATTGATTGTTTATTTTTAAGTGACTGAAACATTTCAAATTAATCCTTACATCTTATCAAAGTTAGTAATATGTTCTACAAATTAAAAACAAAAAATAAATAAAAATATGATGTGTAATGTAATATATACAGAAGATGACTTTTCTTGCTCCCTTTAAGTTGTAACTAATCAGAAACACTTTTAATTCCGAAGGAAAAAACTCTTGATTTTCTTGGTTATCATGTTTTTTTTTTTTTTAAATGATCATATGACACAAAGTTTCTATATCTTCGTCTATTGCATTCTCATACCTAGAATTTCCATTTACTAAATGGAATTAGATGTAATGTTGCAAAGATGAGTTTTCTATCTTCATTTTCACAGTACAAACTCCTTACATGATCTTCACCAGTCTTTGAACTTATGCACTGAAATATTAGAGTATACTAGCCCCACTGAAACTGTTGTGTGCAACTTGGCTTCAATTGCTTTACCACGATTTGTTAGAGATAAGGTATGAAATAGGTTTTGATGAAATGTCTCCCGTAAACTCTCACCTAATGGTTGATAATCTATTCATTCATTTTTCAGGATGTTCCTATTGAGTCACATCCATCAAAGTTGGTTGGAAGCATAGGATCAAAGAATAGATACTTTGATTTCTATAAACTGGCTGAGGTTTGTTCTTCTGACAGTATTAGGTGCTAAGAATGATTCTGCACCCTCTATGCGAAACTTGAAGCCTATTGCCAACTCTGGTAAAGGAACATGCACAGTAGACATTTGTAACTCTGAGATTCTTTCTGTTCTGGAACCAAGATTGGAGCAAGAGAATTTGATAACATCAGGAAAAAGGAATCTCGAAAAATTTTAATTAAAACATTTGTCCGATGTAAGTTTTCCTTCCATAGATATGCTATATAGATTTGCTATTGCTCACAGATCAGTGTAAGATTCTTGCTGATCCTCATTTTGATTTTTCATCATCATTTATGATGCAAATTAATTCTTGGACAAACCTTAAAAGAAAACAATACAAGTGTCATTGGTTAGGTTATTACTTTTAGGATAAGCATTAACCTTGCATGGCAATTGTTTGAATTCTATGCAACTTTTCATTAGTTTAATTAGGAAGATATGGTTATTTTTTAGCCAAATTCACAAACTTTTGATTTCTTTTGTATAAATTTCAAGATTACAAGGTTTGGAGGTCTATTTCATTATCATCAGGTTGAAGATATGACCTTTCCTATTGCACAGTTTATACAGAAAGATGGATCTTATTTCAACTACTATATGGTGAGGATTTAATGTACTATGTATTTGTGTTTCATCGAAATACTATGCTTCACAAGTGTGACTTTTACTTGCTATTTCATGAAAATACTATGTATTTGTGTTTCCTCAAAATATTATGTTTCATCGAAATACTATGTTTTCAGCATCATAATAATTTTCTTCCATGGGATATCTGATCTAATTTCTAAGCTATTGAAACAGTCTAGGATTTAGCTAATTTTAATTGATTTGCTATTGTAAGAGGAAATGCTAAGTGATTACCGTCAATTACTTCATGACTAAATGACATTAATAAATTTTAATATCAATTTATTTTAATATCAAGTATCAATTTATTTTAAGTTTGCATATTATTGTTGTACGTGTTTCTGAAGAAACAAATTCATTGATGGGATAGATGCAATTGCTTCCAAGCGAGAAAACCTGCAAAGGGAGATGGAACAGCGGATAGTAACACAACATATGACTTGCACGGATGAATAACATCACACTCAGTCTTCTGATGATTCCCAAAAACATCTGAGAAGAAGCTTGATTATGTTCTTGTTATCAGAAAAACAAACAAACAAAATGCAATTGACCAAGCTTTAAGGAGATCTGGACGGTTTGATCGTGAGATTTCTTTGGGTAAACCTGATGAAAAAACCACTGCCAGAGATCCTGTCAGTTCTTACTTGAAAATGTAAATGTGTGTTTTGGAGAGAGTGGAGTCAATGAGATATAGTTTTATATAATACTTATGTCCTCTTGAACTTTTAAGTGTTTCATAAAATTACAAGCTGAGTATTGCATGATTGCAAGGTTAGGTGATCAATGGATTCCTATTGTTCAATTGCATTGCAAATGAGCATGGTTTTGGTTGGGATATTCACATGAGTTGGAAAGAGAAAAAAAATGAAAATATGTTGTTTGTCTAACTTTGTTTTGGATGAATCCTCAGGTACAAGTTCATGTGAAAATAAACTAAACAATATGATGCTTTTTGTAATATGTCATGGTATCTGTAGAATTTGATTTTTGTTCAAATAGAGTATTACCTTATGTAGAGTATACAATTAAGTAATTAACTATGAATTTAATTTATCTACAGGGAAGTTCATATTTTTATCAATCTATTTCCAAGGGTTAACTTCATGACCGCTATAATTCATCAATCTAAAAGGAAACACAAAGTTTAGAATATTTTGCTTGGAATTACATCCACATCTTCAAACATTACTTTTATATATATTCTTGTTATTGTATTTGATTGATCAATCAAATTGTAGATACAACCACTCCAATATCGCATAATTTATCCTAAAATATAAATGTATTATTTAAACATTTTTAATTTTTAGCTTATGTTCATATATATTGTGTACATTCATTAAATTTATAACAAATCTTTCAATAAATAAAATTATAATTAAAAGTAATATTAAAATTTTTACCACGTGCATTGCACGTGCAAGCTAACTAGTAGTAATAAAACAGCAACCTCTGGTTGCATTTTTGCCACTTTTAAAATACTAAAGCTTTTATCTTTTTAATTTCTCTACTTAAAAAGCTCATGATTATTTAGTTTCCTTTAATTACTAATTATATTTTTCTCACCACTTCCTTTCCAAATAAATCTTTAATTAATTCCCTCTCCAAGAAGTATTTTAAATCCTGACTCCAATTTCCGACAAAGCATTTATCATGTTCTGCATCTCATGTTCCCCATAAACCTCACACGATTCTACCTTCAAAGATGTCATTTTCTATTTCTTAAAACAAAAAAAAAATCTACAAAAAGGCTTCAAAGATGAACATGTTCCATCTTCTACTTGCTAATCCTCTTCATAATTTAATTTCTACATCGTCCTTCCCTTTTTACAATTTCATTTTTTGTAAGGATTAATTGATTCTTGATGCAAATTTTTTCTATTTTATTATATCTTAAATAGACTAATTTAAACCTCGTCAATATTGAACATATTCTTAATATCATATATTTAAATCTCATTAATTTTAACATCTTAATATCATACATATTGAACATATTCTTAATCTTGCACCGGACAGAGTCAAGGGAGTAGTGAAAAGGCCATCAGCTTCAAGTGCAGTTATTGACACGTGTCACTCGTTCCCCTCACCTGCCACCTGTAAAATGACCAAACGAACTCCTAGTTTACCGCCATACGAACGCACACTCTCACTTCCTCTCTCTCTCTCTCTCTCGCTCTTCTCTCCAAAAAAAACGAAAGAAAAAAAAAAGAAACTATTTCCCCCTCTTTGTTTGTGTCATCAAAGAAACCCTAATTGATCTCGATGAGGCCAGTCCCGACGGATCTGCTATCGAGCGGCGCGGAGACGAGCCACGTCCTGGCGATATCGGTGTTCGTCGTCCTCATATGCCTCTGCATTCTCATTGGCCACCTGCTTCAGGCGTTCAAATGGCTCAATGAGTCCATCGCAGCCATTTTACTCGTAAAAAACCCTAACCCTAGCTCTTTTAATTGAATTTTTATGGGTTCGATTTCGCCAAATTGGGAAAGTTTGGGATCTTCGGCGGAAGTAGATTATGGACAACTAAATGCTTGATTCACTGCTAATTGATAGGGGGGGAAATTATACAATCTCTTTTTGGTGACAAGGAAAATGAGGTTAACAGTGATTGGTGAGGAAATATCTGCTTATTTTGAGATGCAAATATTAAACATTCGAGCGAATAGGTTGCGCTCGAACTTCTCTTCAAGATTGAAAAGGTGTTTTTTCCCCCCTTCAGAAATTACTTGAATGGATGACTTCGGTCATTTACCGTCTGATGTTGTAGTTCGTGGAAGATACGCATGCTTGCCTATTGAGACATGGGAAGGGAAATATGATTATAGACATTATTTGTTTATCCATATAGGGATTCATAGCAGGAGCTATTGTATTGATTTACAGCAAAGGGACAAAATCTCATGTCTTAAGGTTCGATGAAGAAATATTTTTCGTGTATCTTCTTCCACCGATAATCTTCAATGCTGGGTAAGCAGAGAGCCTTATATAATTTTTCACCATTGTCTGACTGTTTGACTTTCCACGCTTACATCTGTTTGCTACATCAGCTTTCAGGTCAAGAAGAAGCAGCTCTTTCACAACTTCCTAACCATAATGCTCTTTGGAGTTGTTGGAGTTTTTATTTCTTTCATAATCCTTTCAGCTGGTAATGAGAAGTTATTCCATGCATAATTTTTTGTTTTTTTTTTTTTGGATATTATATGAAGACATTGAAATATATCAACATCACGTCGGTAACCAAGTTGTCTATCAAAATCTCAAAAGCCTTACTTTTAAAACTAGATACATTGCTGAGATGGTTGCATATGTTATCCAGTAGATTAGATTTTTATTTTCCTTAAGAAAATAATATATGTGCAGTTGATAACTTGCTGTCTCGTCCAATGTTCTCTATGATGTATTACCTCGCAGTCCATATTCACATCATCTTTCCTGCTCAATAATGAAACCGCAGTTTAATATTAAGGGAAAAATGCTTCCAGCCCCCAAAACTAATGAAAACAAGCTTCCCCCTCCCAAGACTTTTTCAACGTGTGTTTTACCCCCAAAAGTAAACTCTGTGTTCTCTGAGCCCCCAAAACACAAAACCCAAGAAATTAAGATACGTGAAGACCATAATACCCTCCATTGTCACATCCTCCTTCCTCTCCAAACCTAACCACCGCAACCTCCTCTCTTTCTCCTCCTTCCATGGCCTCAAGCTCATCTCCGCCTTCAAAACCCAATCTTTCTCCTCCCTATCATTGTCATCCTCCGCCCCCAAATCTCCACATCCTACGACCTCTCCTCCATCTGCTTCCGCCCCATCAAAGAATCCATCGTCTCCCGCGAGATGACCCGCCGCTACATGTCCGACATAATCACCTACGCTAACACCGTCGGCGGCGGCGGCGGTGGCGGTGGCGGCGAATCCGTCGGCCTCTCCTGCGCCTACGAGCTCTCCAAGAACCCCGACATCAACGTCGCCATCATCGAGCAGTCCGTCTCCCCGGCATTGACGATCTGATTTCTTCCTCCATCTAGAGAGCGTCGAGTTTGTACAGAAAGTGAAGCGTATCGCTGACAAATACTGGGATCTCTACTCTCAGGAACGCGATCTCCCTGGACATTTACTTAGCTATCCCATTGGAGTAAGCAGTGAAGGAGTTGTTACAGAGCTCCCAAGGACGGAGTTTTTCCCCGATACAAAGGCTCGTGTTATTTGAACCAAGTCTGATTACATGCCCCCCATCCTCACCACTTAGGTAGCATTTGTCTTGTTTCTTTGCTTCAGGTTGTTTTTACTAAATAATAGTGTTATTGTATGTGGGAATAAAAAAAGAGTATCTTTGATTGTGGGTTGTAGTTTGTTGTTGGTGTTCTTTGATGGATGCGAATTAATTTATGCGTGTGTGAGGTTTTAGTATTGAGATATGTTTTCCTTTATGGCATAAATAGAATCTATGTTAAGCCTGAAGTTTGATTATTTGTCTCCTATTGTGTTTTGTTAAGGTTTGTCGTCGGTTGTTAAGATTAGTGGTCGGTTGTTAAGGTTACGGATTTGTTGTTAAGGTTACGTGTTTGTTGTTAAGGTTACACGTTGGGATTTATATGTATATATATTTTGGTTGTTAAGATTACACTTTTGTTGTTAAGGTTACGCGTTTGTTGTCAAGGTTACGGGTTTGTTGTCAAGGTTAATTTCACAACTAATTAGAATATTCGTTGTTAAGGATAATGATTGGTTGTTAATGTTACGCATTTGTTGTCAATGTTACGGGCTTGTTGTCAAGGTTAATTTCACAACTAATTAGAATATTCGTTGTTAAGGATAAGGGTTGGTTGTTAAGGTTACGCGTTTGTTGTCAAGGTTACGGGTTTGTTGTCAAGGTTAATTTCACAACTAATTAGAATATTTGTTGTTAAGGATAAGGGTTGGTTGTTAAGGTTACGCGTTTGTTGTCAATGTTACGGGTTTGTTGTCAAGGTTAATTTCACAACTAATTAGAATATTCGTTGTTAAGAATAATGGTTGGTTGTTAAGGTTATGCGTTTGTTGTCAAGGTTACGGGTTTGTTGTTAAGGTTAATTTTACAACTAATTAGAATATTCGTTGTTAAGGTTACGCGTTTGTTGTCAAGGTTACGGGTTTGTTGTCAAGGTTACGCGTTTGTTGTTAATGTTACATGTTTATTGTGAAATTAACCTTGACAATCAACCCGTAACCTTGACAACCAAACCCGTAACATTAACAACAAACCCGTAATCTAAACAACAAACACGTAACCTTGGCAACAAGGCTCTTAGGCTCTTAGCAATAAGGTTACCCGTAACCCGGAATAAGGTTTGTAGAATATCGTAGCCATCATCAGTTCCATGCAAAAATTTCTTAACAATCAACCCGTAACCATAACAAGCAACCCGTAACCTTAACAACCAACACGTAACCTTAACAAGCAACACGTAACCTTAACAAGCGACGCGTAACCTTCACAACCAACGCGTAAATCACTTGGCTTTTGAAAATCTCATTAAAAGTGAAATATTATTATAATTTCCCTAAAAATTAAAAGTGAAATATTCATTTTCTAAAAATATATTGTTATATATGTTTCCGAATCTTACAAAAAATCAGTAAGAAAAAAGAAAATTACCAACAATTAACCCTTCAAAAAACAAAAAAAACAAGATTAAAATCACTAACAGGACCCACTTCCTTCTTCCACCTCCTCAATTAACCCTTCAAAAAATAAAAAAAATATTAAAATCACTAACATGACCCACTTCCTTCTTGCACCTCCTCAATCTCAAAACGAACCGAGGAAGCCACGAAATCACAGCAAGTGCCCACCACCTAAAACAAAATCCAGGTTTTGAAAATCCGACGCACATGCACCACGACCGCCGCCGTAAACTTCGTCATCCTCCTCTTGCTCATCACCTCCTCCTGCTCATCCTCGCCGTCACCGGCGTCTCTCCACGTGTCACGTTCCCGGCCATCCGCGTGGAGCTCAACATGACCCTCGACCTCCTCATCAAAAACCCTAACTATGCTTCGTTCTCTCCAGCTTTACTATGGTGGGGCCCAGGTTGGGGAGGCTGATGTGGATCCTGGGAGGATACCGGTGCGCGGGGCGATGCTCGTGACGGCGAGGTTGACGGCAGAGGGGGCAATCTCATCGCGGAGGTGGGGACCCTGCTGAGGGACATGATGACGGCCGCCATCGGGGAAAGGGACGGAGGAACCCTTTCAAATCATCACAGATAAAGAAAGAAAAAGAGAGAGAAAGGGTATTATGGTCTTCAAATTTTAATACTCTTGGTCTTTGTGTTTTGGGGGCTCAGTGCATATTTGTTACGAATTTGGGGGTTTTGAGAGCGTTGAAAAAGTCTTGGGAGGGGGAAGCTTGTTTTCATTAGTTTTGGGGGCTGGAAGCATTTTTCCCTAATATTAATTACATTAGTTCCAAGATCCAGTTTATTCTCATGACACACACAAACAGATGTCACTCAGTTTCTCTTTATCTTTAAAAAGAAGCATCTGTTTATAACAGCCTTACCACTGAAAAATTATATATATTATGTTATTTTAAGATGAAATCTTTGTTTAGTTTAGGGGCTTAAATAGGTAATTGTCTCTCTTAGAATAGCTTAGTCTTGGCCCTTGATGGTGGAGAAAATGCAAACAAACCAGAAAATGGTACCACACTTCTTAAGATTATAAAAATATACACTTGATTAAAAAAAGTTACTTCTCATTCTGAAAAAAATTAAACATTTTATTATTTGTAGAATCTGTATTTAACAGTCTGTCTTTGTCTTCTTCCAAAGTACTTTTACATGGCCAGTTCTCAGGAGATGGACAATCTCTTTTCTTTTGAGTGATGCTGCAAAAAACCTAAAATCAAGTGATCAGCCGCAAACTCCAACATGAAGATCGGTATTAGTTACTATTTCTATTGTAAATTTCCTGTCTATCTAATGTATAAAGACTAATAACAACCACATCCTTAGGAATTAGGACTAGTCTGATAATTCCTACATGAATTCTGTCCTTTTATATTCAAGTAATATGGAATTTCAAACTCTTACCACCCTTATCCGGCATAGGCTTATTTCATTGAAATTTATGTTCACAGTCCCATAAATGATATTCGATTGCTCAGATGGGTATTAAGTAACATTTGCTGAATCACAAATTTTTTTCTATTTTCTTTGATAAACGTCATCTGCATGACCCCTTTCCTAAGAGCTTTCCAAAAATTGCTCTCACTGATGTGTTTTTATTGATTTAGGCAGTTGGTGGCTCTTTCCTAAAATTGGTTTTGAACGACTTGAACCACGAGATTATCTTGGTGCGGATTTGATTCTGTCTACTAAAATTAATTTCTCAAGTAATCTTTATCTGAAAACACGTTGTTCTGATTTGTTTCAGTTCTCGGGACAATATTTTCCTCCACGGACACTGTTTGTACACTACAGGTTAAACAGATCCATCCCATACCCAGTCCTTTCATTTTATATTATTTTCTATTAGTTCCAATTTCAGCTAATTAAATCAAGGTACTTTTGTTGGCCATTGTTTTCATGTTCAATTTTAGGTCCTGAGCCAAGATAAGAATCCTCTACTGTACAGTTTGGTCTTTGGAGAAGGGATCATGAATGATGCCACATCTGTAGTCCTTTTTAATGCGATTCGAAAGATGGATGTCTCTAACCTAAATGGATCAACGGCACTTCATGTTTTTAGAGATTTCTTGTACTTATTCTCAACAAGCACCGTGCTAGGAATTGTGGTCAGTTCCGTATTACATAGTTTCCTCAGAACACACGCTTCAAGTGCAATGCCACTTAATTATCTGTTCAAACAAGGTGCTCGTTATCGAATAAGTCCTGCCAAATTGACGTCTGTGGTCCCCCATAGGATGGGCTAGGAAAGGAGTACTTCTGATAACAAGCAGATTGTTTGAACAGAAAAATGAGCAGCATTGCACTTGAAACTATTGTTACCTCCTTTGATGCTTCGCTTACCTGCAAGCATAGGAAACTACTAATTGTCTTTAGTCATTTCTATTTGTTTTATTAGTTCTATCGTTTTTAGATTCATTCTTATCCAGTTTAATTAACAAAATTCCATCTTACAGAGTGGCCTTTTAACTGCATACGCGCTTAAAACCTTCTATTTTGGAAGGTAAGTGAACTACAAGATCAACGGTCTACTTGTGCCCTTTTTGAATTAGTACGAGAGACGGCACATGCTAACTGTCATTTGTTTCCCCTTTTAGAATTAGTACAAGAGGCGACATGTGTTAACTGTCATTTGTTGTATGTTACAGGCACTCAACTGACCGTGAAATAGCTCTCATGATCCTGATGGCATATTTGTCATACACGCTAGCCGAGGTTGGGATAGAAATCAAGTTATCCTCTATTCATTCAGCACCGTGTAATTATCACTGCCTTTTGTTGCCATGTGAGTATCTGCTATAGGATAATTACCAATAAGGAATTAGCCTCATTCAAATTATTATATCGTGGACAAGGACCACAACGTTTCTTAGAAGAATGCACATCTCTACAAAATATACTAGCTGCCACATAGAGAAATGTCTTTCTACTGTTTCTCAGTGGTTTATTTCTAAACTTTCCTTAATTTACGACAGAGGTCAGTGCCTAAACTGTTTCGTTGCCTCTGTGCTGATGACTCGTATAGAATTCGGTTGGGAACAATTAGTTGGAAGCAATCAAGCACTCAGTACAGTGTAAAGAATATCATTTACTAGGAGAAGCGTGACATTCCACAAAAAAGTTAGTCCCACATCATTGGAATGAGTGAAATGTAGAGCATCTATAAGGTGAGTTGTGAGATTCAAGTGTAGCATCGGCTAGTTGATTTTGGCAGTAGTTTGAGCCAAACAACGCGCTACACTCAGTGGGGTCCCACAGCTTACAACACACCAACAGGCCCGCAGGCCTGGGGCATGACAATAAGACCAGGGTTTCATATTCTGAGAGGGTCACATCTTTGGAGCTATTCCTGACCAAAACAGGAAAGGAGAACCATCACCTAGGATCAGGATTTGATGCCTGCATATTAGCTTTATGTATCTAGCATCTTCTGCTATAAGTTCCACTCTCTGGAATTAAATTGCTTTAGTCTTTTGTTTTCACGTTAGAACTCCAAAGATAACAACAGAAAGTTTAAAGCCTGAATTATTTCTCCTGATAAATCAATTATCAATGACAAATGCAAGTGTTTTTGAAATCTTTCACTGTCTAATTACTTGCTGTTTAATGGCAAAATTTGATCTCGTTTCAATAGCGTGGTATTTGTAATATGCTTTAGAACCCTTGAAAAAATCTGATTTTCTGCAAATCTTCATCAGCAGTTGATTCAAAACTTCTGAAGCAAGGTCATATTTTGTTATGTAGTTATCTCATTCATTTTATCATGGCCTAAATCTATGTCTGGACACTTCAAGAAAAGTGTAAAGTATGTATTTTATCTTCCTGTATAAGATGTCATATGTTTATCTATTTTAGATGATATCTGCATTTGAAAAACATGTCAATGTTTTCTGCGCAGCTTTTTGAATTGAGCGGAATTCTGGCTGTCTTCTTTTGTGGAATTGTCATGTCACATTATGCATGGTATAATGTGACTCAAAAATCAAGAACCACAACAAGGTATCTTCAAGTGCTTCCATAATTCATAGAGATTTTTAGGATGCAAAGTAGAAGTTTAGTCATATGTGAGATCATTTGTTGAAATAGATAATTAAGAGTAGTACATGTATTATGCATGGATGTGCTGACATTTTTTTCGGGGAAATGATTTATGATGATTGTGAAGCCATAAATGAGTTATAATAGAAAGAGAATGTTATTAGCTAAAGCTCTTGACCAGGTTATTTTCAGTGCACTGTGGTGTCTACTAGATGCATATGTTCTTCTCAGTACCCCAAACTTTGGGGTATTAGTGTGAAAATCTTCATTAAAGAATCAATAAACTCACGGTGCCAAGATGTTTTTTTTTCCTTCCATTCTGCTGTGTTGTGATTTTTTTTTCCCTCTCTTTTTCTTCCTTCTTTCCTTCAGGCACACTTTTTCTACAATGTCGTTCATTGCAGAAACTTTCATCTTTCTTTATGTGGGCATGGATGCGCTTGACCTTCAGAAATGGCAGGTGACAGGGGCAAGGTAAGCACTGTCAACTTCAAGATGTCAGCTCAGAAATTATAAAATAAAAGCTAATAGAATGAATTCAGTGGAGCCTTAAATCGAGGAGTTATTTACAAAGTTAAAAAGATGTCAAACTGAAAATTGTTTGAAACAAATGCAGTCGGCCAGGAAAGTTATCCTCCCGTTTCAGTTCAGTTCATCTCTTTGTATAGAAAGGTGATAGTAGCTATCGCCATACCTGGCAGAAACTTTTTGCCAACACTTTGAGATCCTCAACACTGAGCTGCGAGCACCTCCACCAACACTTTGAGATCCTCTTTTTGGTATTAATTCGGCTTTAGAATCACAAGCATTCTCACAAGAACTTTCTAGCAACTCAGCCTGGTTTTACCTTAGTCAAAGATAGCAGCACAGTTATGCACAAAATATGATACCAAAGATATCTTCAGAACTAATTTTGGAGGAATTCTTTTTCCAACCAATGATATTAGTACATTATCTCCATCCTATAAACTGATTGACTATGCTTTTATCTGTTCTTCTTAGATGTGGCATCACTTGCAGTGGATTGATATTGTCACAACCCCAATTTCCGAACCTAAAAGGAATATTAGAGCCGGACTAAACCTATGAAAAATCCTCCAAAAATATACATTCATTAAAAGACCATCAAAATAATCTCTTCATTGAACTAAAACCAACAATAAATATTCAAATAATCTCTTCATTGAACTAAAACCAACAATAAATATTCTCTATAATCCCAAAAGTCAACATTAATCCAATTAACTAACTAAAACCAACAATAAATATTCTCTATAATCCCAAAAGTCAACATTAATCCAATTAACTTGATAAAAGCAAATATTCCTCAACTTGAAATAAAACTCAACCTAAAGGAAAGAATCCCATTATTACAAAACTCTCAATTTATCAACTAAACATCAAAGACTTTATTTAACCTTCACCTAGAAGACAATAACAATCTCGAATTTTATTTCTTGCTTCATTCTAAGAATGTGAAAAATCATCAATTCCACCTAATCCCGAGTCTCTAAAAAGAATGAAAACAACACAATGAGTTCACAACTCAATAAGTGGATAAATTCGTACATTGAACACTGGTTTTGTAAAAACTCAAATATTTCAACAAATAATAAGCAAAATATAAGAATGATAGAGAATCATCAATGAACTCTAGTACTTGATGTAAATATTTAAGAAAACTTAAAAATCATGAAATAAAAATAAGCAAGTCACGTCTCAATACGGTCAACACTTTATATTCCGATTGACTCGATAAACCCCACAATTATTAAGCTCGTGGTTCTAGGACGGTGAGACCCAAATTTGAGCTTTTAGCGCTAAAATAAAACCTCATAGAGGCACATTGAGCCCTGTTTTAATAACTTGCGTATACTCGATATATACCGGTATATTGACTTGAGATGCATATACTTTAAGAAAATTAAACAAAGTTCTAAAACTAAATACGTTATACAAAAATACCAAAGGCCAACCAATAGTGAAATCAATCAACCACGTGTGCATCTCAACCTACTACTATATGAAAAGACATAACAATTGACAAAGAATATAAGCGTAGGCTTATACCAAATAACAATGTGCATTAATCCAATCAATAACTAGTATGCGAGCAACCATACAAAAGGGTATAATTTATCAGAATAAACTTACATATAGTCAATATAATTTTATATAAAAAATACGCAGTGAATAATGTACAAATTCACCACTTACACAAACCCAAAAGACTATCGGAATATCAGTCACAATGCCTCCTCGAAGTCCCTTGGAATTCCTACATAATATTTACAAATAATCATCAAAATTTACCGTAGAATCTATGACGCAAACGCCTATAAAAATAATTTTAGGATATATTAACTTAAATTAACTATACTAAAATCAATCAACATATCCTATTGTACCCTATAGGCACGGTTAAGCATTGTATGCATAATAATTTTTATAAATAAAAACAAAAGAAGAGGAGACGGGAAAAATGCTGCACTAGATTAAGGAAATTAGCCATGGCCACAAAAACAAGGCCTATCAAGTGGAACATGGTGGAACCATCAACGAAGATAAGATCCAAATAAATTAAAATAAAATTTGTTGCACAACATGAAACGATGCTTACTCTAGTCCATATAAAACTGCTAGAAGTAGAGATAGACTTATAGCTTGTTCTTGTGTTAATAATGACCGCCTACTTCCTCAGTACAGATCCTTAAAAAAAATTCCCCTGAAGAAGAGAGCGCGGCGGGGAGAGGGTGCGGTGATCTCACAAATATACGTGAGCTAGGGTTTCTAGATATATAACATTTAATTTACAAATAGAACCCTCTAATAGTACATAATTTATATAAGTACAATTACTAACATTTTATGCATAAAAATCCTTTTATTTTTTTTATATATAGCCAAAAATTAGGATTGTTGCAGATGTGTTGCTAGAAACAGTAACTATGTGAATGATAATTGATCGCTTCGTGGAGTTTTACTGACTTAGAACTGTATGGAGAAAGGCTTCAAGGATGATGATCAGGGATAATAACTAACAAGCATACCTCACCTACAAGATGCTAGAACTGTGTATTTCTGCTGTTATGATTTTACAATCATTTTAACGAATCAGTAAGATTCGCTCCCTGGTTAATAAAAAGGCACTCCTTACTATGGAATTTGGTTATGAGATTGACTGGTTGAATATTGTGTCACAGACAATCATTTTGTTTTTCAAATATGCCAATTAACCTATCAGTATCTCACATTTTAAAATTTTCTTTTTAGATTTGATTTTTTTTATAGATACTGGAATTAGCTTATCTTTTGGTAACCTAGATGTTTCATACAAAATCTGACGATTTATCAAAATATCTTAAATTTGCCAATTTGTCAGTTTGAAGACATCGTTTGGTATATATGGTGTTCTCATTTGTCTACTTTTGCTTGGGAGGGCTGCTTTTGTTTTCCCTCTCTCTGCTCTATCCAATTACATGAGTTCAAATGTTGAAAAGTCGACAATCACATTCCATCACCAGGTGAGATCTTCTTATCTCACCTTCTTACAGTTCACTGTATAAGCTAAAAGGATAGAAACATTTGGACTCACATTCTATTAGTTTTGTAAGAAGTGTTTTTAGTTTCATGTCATAATTTACAGGTCATAATTTGGTGGGCTGGCCTCATGAGAGGAGCTGTTTCTGTTGCTCTAGCATTTAAACAGGTTCTTTCTTACTTAACTGTGATTGTGATATAAGAAAAGGATGGTTTCTAATTTATCATCAAAGTTTTCTTGACTTTCTGCCTTTCTGCAGTACACGGATTTTGGGGTTACGTGGAATCCAGTTCATGCCACAATAATCACAAGTACAGTAGTTATCGTGCTCTTCAGCACTATGGTATGTCAAAGATTTATGTATGTCATAGATTTAACATGCATGCTGCTAAAACTAACAAGTTAGGGAATATATCGTGTTAGGGAATATATTACGTATCATGTTAGAAAGTTTCTCCCATCCAAAATAAGCAAATATATTACGTATCATGTTAGGGAATTGTTGAGAATGTAATGCAATTAAAGGGTTTGTTAGAGGGCCTTTGTGTAAACATGTGTGTAAGGCTATATAAGCCAACAATTCTATCAATGAGATGCAAGAAGCCCTAATTTCTCAATATGGTATCAGAGCTATCTAACCTAGCCGCCGCCTCTTCATTTGTCTTGTGAACCCGACGTGAATCCAAGCTCGTCGACGACGAAGACGACGTCAGCCGAAGTCCCGACCAAGCTCCGACGCCATAAAAGCCTTCGCGACGACGAAGACGACGTCAGCCGAAGTCCCGACCAAGCTTCGCCGGAGCTTTCGCTGGTGCCTTGGCCGGAGATCTCGCAAAGGACACGCCGTTGAAGAAGGCATGGTTCTCTCGTCGATGCCGACCCCTTTGTTCCGATCTCCCATGGCGTCGTGAATGATTCTGCCCTCAATCGAGCAGGAGGAGGTGGAAGGAGATCGATGGGTGGGCCGATGAGAATGCGACGATGAAGGACGAGCTGGTGAAGGGAGAGAACGGGGAGTCGACGAGGGCGACAGCGACAGAGAAACGATCAGCGGCGAAGAGCTTGGCGAGATCGAAATTGGGAGCCGGAGTAGGGGAAGAAGAATAGAAAAAAAAACAAAAGGAAGTTTTTTATTGAAAAAAAAGAGGGGAGAGATCTGTAGCGGGGAAGTTTTTTATTGAAAAAAGAGAGGGGAGAGATCTGTAGTGGGGAAGTTTGTGCTGTGCTGATTAGAACAAAAAAAAAAGGAAAAAAGAAAAAGAAAGAAGAGGGATCTGTAATCTGTAATTAGATGAATTGTAATAGCTTGTTTAGGTTCCCTCGACAGGTCAGTCCTCGAACTGATGAGAGAAGAGCTGATATCTCACCTTGTTGAGATATCTTGCTTTTGGTTCTTGTTTCCTTAGTGAAACAGGAATTTTTATTGATCTAACTTTCTTGTTGTGCTGTCGGAGTGCTGCCGAAATTTTCACTGCACACAAGAATACAAGTTGGATCTATGACGGAGACTGGCAAAAATCCGATGGAAGGGATCATCAATAAGTTGAATCCTGAGGAGATCTCAACATTGATGCAACTGATGAAGTTGTCGGCGGGAGAGAGCTCGACAAAGCCACAACCCAAGAAGGTGGAGCTTCCACCTATCGATGTAAAACTTGATGGACCCGCGACATATCTGAGTTGGTCGCGCCGGGTGAAATATACCCTTGCTGGGAGGAGCCTAGAGGGATATCTGACAGGGGAGAAGACTGAGCCGGCTGAGGGCTCAGCAGGGAGAGATGAGTAGAAGTCCACTCATATGTTGGTGTATATCTGGCTTCTGAATTCTGTAGTACAACCAATTGCTGCCACAGTGGATGGTCTTGGGAGGGTGCATGATGTCTGGGAGAAGCTGAGGAGGACTTACGATGGGGTGGGAAATAACCTAAGGGTATTCCAGATCGAGAAGGAAATCAGCGCTACAGTCCAGGGAGAGAGGACTGTACAGGAGTACGCCACAGAGCTGGAGCGCTTGTGGCTCGATCACGATCACTTCTCACCCCTAGCGAGCTGTAAAGACCCGGAGTGCAAGGAGCGCGAGGCCTCCTTGCAGAAGAGGACCATGTTGTTTCTCCGAGGCTTGGCTCCAGCATATGATCAGAGGACGGCGTTGTTACTAACTCAGATTAAGATCCCACCACTGGAGGAGGCAATCTCAGCCATGATACAAGAGGAGAGCCGCATCAGACTACAGGCTGGGACAGGTGGACTTACAGGGGAAAAGTCTGCACTGGTGGTATCCAACCCGGATTACACTGGATTCAGAAGGGAGACTAGGAAGTGCTTCAACTGCGGAGAGGTAGGACATCTGAGACAGATGTGCCCTAAGCCACCCAGAGAGAGAGACTGGGGTGGACGCGGTCAGGCTGGAGGCCGTGGTCGTGGTCGTGGAGGCAGGCGAGGTGGAAGAGGAGGCCACCGAGCAAACTTGACAGTGACAGAAAGAGAAGAAGAAGCTGAGATGATCTTCACTGCCGAGGATCGTGCACTCTTGACAGCACTGAGGAGGAAGCAGAGCGCAGTAGGTGATGTGTCTGAGGGGGCATCTACTACTTTCTCTGGACGAGGGACTAGGCACTGGCACTGTTACTGTAGGTACCTCTGGCTCCTTCCCCCTCCTACTGTATGTAAGCAACTCCCCCTGAGCTGTAGGTCTAACACCCATTGTCTCCTCCTTCTCCCCTTCGTCTTCATCCTCCTTCTGTAATGGTAGTGAGTTCTTATCTTACACTCATTTAGCAGAAGCAGAGAGCATCCAGATCGCTGATGGTACAGCGCAGGATGTGGTTGGTAAGGGCACTGTTAGTTGTACAGGTTCTATAACTTTATCTAATGTTCTGTATGCTCCTTCATTCCCTGTTAGCCTGTTATCCATTAGTGCCATTATCCTTCAACGAAATAGTATTGTTTATTTTGACATTCCCAAGGTGATCTTCCAGGAAAAGGGGACAGGGCGAAGACTTGGGACTGGGACATGGCATAGCGGGCTGTGGTACTTGGACCGCGAAGGGATGGACTCAGCGCTGACATCTGTGGTGGAGAGGACGGGAACAGGAGGAGCTAAAGTGTGTGCAGAAGATGAGTTGATGCTTTATCATCAACGGATGGGACATCCGTCATTTGGCATTTTGGGTAGAATGTATCCAACCCTGTTTGGAAAAATAGATAAACAGAAGCTACATTGTGATGCTTGTGAGTTTGGAAAACTAACTAGAAGCTCTTACGTTAGTTCAGGTAATAGGAGTTCTTGTAAGTTTGAAGTAATACACTCTGATGTATGGGAACCCTGCCCAGTAAATTCTATAAATGGATGCAAGTTTTTTGTTACATTTATTGATTACTTCTCTAGGGTCACTTGGGTGTATCTTATGAAAAACAAAAGTGATGTAGTTGGCTGTTTTAAAGATTTTCATAAGCACATCCAGACTCAGTATGGTGCAGCAGTAAAGGTGTTGAGGTCGGATAATGGGACAGAGTATACCAACAGAACACTTGGGGAGTATCTGTCAGCTCAGGGGATTCTACACCAGACTACATGCCCATACACCCCAGCTCAGAATGGGGTAGCAGAGAGGAAGAACAGACATCTCCTAGAAGTCGCTAGGAGTATGATGATGGCGATGAATGTCCCAAAGATGGTATGGGGACAAGCAGTCTTGACTGCTGCTTACTTAATCAACCGGATGCCTTCAAGTGTGTTGGAGTGGAAGTCTCCTTGTGAGATACTGAAATGAGATAACGAAGGGGCCCTACCATTGAAGGTATTTGGCTGTGTGTGTTTTGTGAAGGACAACAGACCATCGGTTGGGAAGCTAGACCCTAGGGCTGTGAAATGTATATTCGTGGGATACAATGGCACCCAGAAAGGGTATGTTTGCTGGAGCCCGGTGGAAAAAAGGTTGTTTGTCAGCATGGATGTGCGGTTTCGGGAGCTCGAGCCGTACTACACAGTAGGGGTTACTTCACCTTTTGGTGACTTGCCCGATACTGGAGGTATGAGGCAAGAGGGGGAGAATGGTGAGAGCTCAAGGGGGTCAATCCCAATTTCGATCCCGTACCCAGAAGAGAAGGAGGATGAAGACGAAGGGGAGAAGGAGGAGACAAGGGGTGTTAGACCTACAGCTCAGGGGGAGTTGCTTACATACAGTAGGAGGGGGAAGGAGCCAGAGGTACCTACAGTAACAGTGCCAGTGCCTAGTCCCTCGTCCAGCTCTGCTCTAACTCCTGAGACACCTACACCACCCTCCACTCTAGGTAATATCATTCCTACTCCTAACCCTCCCCCTACTCTAATGTCAGAAAGGAGGACTACTCGCAGTAATGCGGGAAATCCTCCTAAGAGATATGGTTGGGATCTAGCTCATTCTGTTTCCTATTCTCACATATTACCTTCATATGGAGCATTTATTGCATCATTAGATTCTGTTATTATACCTAACAGCTGGCAGGATGCTAAGAAGGACCCAAAGTGGAAGGCTGCTATGCATGAGGAGCTGGGGGCTCTTGAGAAGAACCACACGTGGGAGTTAGCGACACTGCCAGCAGGAAAAAAGGCAGTGGGATGCAAGTGGGTGTTTACCGTGAAGCAGAACCCGGAAGGGAAGGTTGAACGATACAAGGCACGACTGGTGGCAAAAGGGTACAGCCAGACATACGGCATTGACTACGATGAGACTTTTGCACCAGTGGCGAAGATGAGTACTGTTCGAACGTTGATTTCTCTAGCAACAAATGGTGGATGGGAACTACACCAACTGGATGTGAAGAATGCGTTCCTTCATGGAGATCTAGTGGAAGAGGTGTATATGGAGATACCACCTGGATGTAGCACAGGACAGACAGTGGGTAAGGTCTGCAGACTGAAGAAGTCTTTGTATGGACTAAAACAGTCCCCTCGAGCATGGTTTGATAGGTTCAGGAGAGCCATGGTTAGTATGGGATACAGACAGATCAATGCCGATCATACTGTATTCTTCAGAAGAAGTGGAGGTCACATCACAATGCTGGCAGTATATGTGGATGACATGATCATCACAGGGGATGATGAGAAGGAGATTGCTCAGCTCAAGGTAAGATTGAGCAAAGAATTCGAAGTGATGGATCTGGGTCAGCTGCGATACTTCCTTGGGATAGAGATAGCTCATGGACCTAAGGGGATTGTTCTCTCTCAGAGGAAGTATGCACTGGATCTTCTTGCAGAGACGGGAATGTTGGGATGCAAGACTGCTGCTACACCGATTGATCAGAGTCTCAGGCTGAGTGCTGAGGCAGGAGAACCTGTTGATCGTGAGAGATATCAAAGATTGGTGGGTAGGCTGATCTACCTGAGTCACACACGCCCAGATATCTCATTTGCGGTAAGCATGGTGAGCCGCTATATGCATGACCTGAGGAAGGGTCATATGGATGCAGTATATCAGATACTGAGGTATCTAAAGGGGGCCCCTGGCAATGGACTAAGATTCAGGAGAAGTGGTCATGTGAACATTGAGGGCTACTGTGACTCAGATTGGGCTAGCTGCGGAGATGATCGGAGGTCTACCTCAGGGTATTGCATATTTGTAGGAGGCAATTTAGTCTCCTGAAAAAGCAAGAAGCAATCTGTGGTGGCGAGATCAACAGCTGAAGCAGAGTACAGAGCCATGGCCTTGGGGGTTGCTGAGTTGATGTGGCTGAAGAACATGCTGGTGGAACTGAACCTTGATCAAGGGGCCAAGATGAGTTTGTGGTGCGATAACAAGTCAGCTATCAGCATCGCCAACAACCCAGTTCAGCATGACAGAACTAAGCACATCGAGATTGATAGATTCTTCATCAAGGAGAAACTGAACAGTGGGCTACTGGAGTTAGGCTATGTTCCAACTAAGGAGTAGGCTGCAGACTGCTTGACTAAAGGGCTTAGCTCAGTAGATCTAGCTAGAGGGTGTGACAAGATGGGCTTAATAAATATCTTTCGCCCTTCTTGAGGAGGAGTGTTGAGAATGTAATGCAATTAAAGGGTTTGTTAGAGGGCCTTTGTGTAAATATGTGTGTAAGGCTATATAAGCCAACAATTCTATCAATGAGATGCAAGAAGCCCTAATTTCTCAATAGGAATATATCACAATGTAATATACTTAGACATGAATCATGACTGAGGCATTTAATTTATTGGCCTAATTTTAGTAGTCTTCGGACATTCTTCATTTTAGCTTGCAACTTAAACTTTTCTGCTTTTTCTATTCCTATTGATGCCCTTGTTGATTTCCCTGCTTGTGTCAACAGATTCTATTACGCCCTGAAGAACAATATTGGTTGCTTAATCTCACAAAGCCCCCCCCCCCCCCCCCCCCCCCACCCAATTTTTTTTGTTTTTTTTTTTTGAGAGATCAAAGTAATTTATCGTTTTTTTAAGTACAGGGAAGAAAACTTAAGGACACGGGGGTAGCTATATCCCAGGGATCTGTTCCTGTAGAAGAGTTTCGAGTCAAATGGATTGTCCTGGCAAAGCTTTCTGCCATTCCTTATCATTAAATTAAATATCATCGCGTTGTGGCATTATTCTTCATTCAATTTTAAAATAGCATTGATTTAAAAATAGCAGCAAATCTCTATCTAAGGGATGTATTCTTCACATGTAATCTTTCGATTGCCCATCTGAATCTTTTCTGCTCCTGTTGTTGTCACAAAATCCTGGATAATGACTCAGAACGCATTTATTAGGTGGATTTTATTCTCCCTTATTGCATTCCGTTCTTTCTTTGCCTCATTATCCCAAATGTTTCTTTATCATCATGCGATATAGTTATCAGTAGTTTCTTTCTCTTTGTTAATTAAAGTGCAAGGTTGATCTACTTTGCATGAGACACAGACAAGGCGGAACTTTTTTTCTTCTTCTTCTTCTTTCCTGCAGCAGACCAGCCCTTTCTCTTTAATGCGGAAGAATTACCCTCCATCATTAATTAACGTATATTAACAAAATAAAATAAAATCATTTAGAAGAAGTTTACATGATGTAGGAGAATACATCTGTAAGATTTGAGTCTTACAGTAACATATGTTCGATGTTTTATTTGAAGTGGTTTCATGTGCCACACTTATCCTTGTTTTGTAGGCTTTACTCAGGGATCGTGGTGCTCAATTTTTTTTTTTTAACAGGTATTTGGACTTCTAACTAAGCCTCTCACTGATGCATTGCTTCCTCAAAGTGAACGAGGTAAGAATAATCACCAAAACAGAAAATCATTTGAAGAAGACCAAATCCTTCCACTTCTCTCACAAGAGAACCCCCTTCAAACAAAGAGCACTTTAGCTCTGCTATTTGAAAGGCCAGTCCGAACTATCCATGTATACTGGAGAAAGTTTGATGATAACTACATGAGGCCACTCTTTGGTGGTCCTTCTCCTTCGACCTGAGATCCTGTGCCACTACTTCAGGAAAATTGTCAGAATTTATTATTTGCACTTTTATTCTTCTTTTTCCTGCGTATATAAGCTGAAAGCTCATAGCAGGAAGTTTTGTTATTGCAAGTAACAACTTTCTTTGTTAAAAGAGAGAATTTTACCGATCGCGCCAATACTGAATCTCTCCGGCTTTTCAGAAGAAGATCAAGGTGCCATTTGCAAACGTGATATATTTGCAAAAAGAATGAAAATGGGTGCTATTTATTCTTTAAATCTCTCTCTCTCTCTCTCTCTCTCTCTCTCATTTTCATTTTGGGTATAACATACCGATTTTAGCAAATACATTCATTGTGTTTCTAACAATCTGCACAAAACAATTTTTCTTTTTTTTTTGGTGCATATCAGCCTTATGATATTGTGCTCTGACAATCATTTCAGGATATACTCGTTTTACAGCTCCAATTTTAATGAGTTAGATTAATGATAATGTGACTCTCAAATACGAGTTCCTTTTTCAATGATTAGATCATTTTCAACCCACTGCTTTTGGAAAGGCTGGCTCTTGCAACTTAGATTTTCTCCAACGAAACCCATATATAAAGAGCTTCACTTGAGACCAGGAAATTTCATATTTTCAGGGAAAACGACGAAACTTCAGATAGACTAAAGCGGGTACCAAAACATGGTAAAGATGGTGAAAGTATAAAATTTGATGAACAAGTAACCACCAATATCTTAGAGTGGCAATTAGGTAACATAATTTTTTCCTAAACGCGTCATTGATTCTGGCCACACTGATAATTTTAATTGTTATTTTCCTTAGCTAACCCCAAAATTTTGGGATAGATATAAAGGCTTCGTAGTTGTAGCAGCGTCCTTCATACAAAGAAATATGAGGCAATTAATAAAGAAGAAATCTTAAAAGTCTCAAATTAAATTTGCAATTTATAAATGGATAAGAAATAGCATTGGATTAGTATTAGCATATCTTGCATTGAGCACAGTTAGTTTGGTAGAACTAACTTTAGACCAAAATGTCACTTCTTTCTCTGGCAGTTGAGCAGATAAAAATAACACGCCAAGCATGAAGACGTCATAGGATTTCTTTAAAGTACCAATCTAAATCGCTTGGTATTAATAATACAAAATTGGAAAACAAAAGAAGCGTAAAACAGTAGAACAAAATGTGGAATACTAAATTATACAAGCTCAAGGCTAGCAGATGCAAGTTACTTCGTCTTAAATATAGAAAACAACTAATCTTCAGAGTTAGGTGAATTCAAAATGCAAGAATGAAAGATGCAGCTCTTTTTATTGCTTGACAAATTTCCTCAGGACTTCTTCAGCACGCTGCCCCATTTTCGGGAGGGCCCATTCATGCTGAATAATCTCCATACTGTCTTTCTCCGCGCTCAAGCTCTGAAGGCAAAAGGAACAAGATCATACAAATTATTTCTTTAGATTTTACATGCATACATGCAATTGCACAAGGTGGGTGCTACAAATAAAAATATTGCTAAAATCATGATTTCATGAGTAAGTAAATAATTTATAATGAAGTTGTAAAAGGCTAAACCTTACATTCTACAGCTATTCTTAAGCCAAATTTTATTTTGCCAACACATCAAAGGTCGGTCTTTACTCTTGGTGACATCACATGTACTTCTAGTCAAGATTTTGAAGGCTGCTCTATCTATCATGTTCTTATTTATTTATGCTTAACATAACAAAAGGGCAGTTAGAAGCTGAAGCCTGAAAGTGTAGCTGCTTTAGAGCATTTAAGCCATCAACTCAATAAAGTATCCAAGAGGCCGGATAACAAACTAAAAAGGGGGGAAATGGTGTCTGAGAGTCTATATCAATTTGAAACTACAGATTTTTCTGAAATTTCAGAATTTATAATTACTGAATAAACGGAAAGTAGGCTTGTTGAAATTACAGAATCAGGAGCGACAAGCTAGTTTGAAACAGAAATTTCATCATATTCTCGAAAGTTGAAACTACTCAATGAATAATCAGACAAACATATGAAGAACAGTTGACATAGGCAATTCGGACCAAGACAATTTGACATGATTAATGGCTGAGTTGAGGAAAAACTATATATTTAATCATTAGATAAGTCAGTGCAGAGTGAACATTTTTCAGTTCAACGATGTATTTAATCATTAGATAAGTCAGTCAATAGTTTGAACAGTGCATGAACCTCATAGGCTTCAATGCAAAAGAAAACTGTTGAGTTATTTAGATAGATTAAGTTAATTAGTTAATGTTATAAGGACCCTTTTGTAAGAATGCATTAATATAAAAGAGGGACCTCTCTATGGGAGAAGTAACCCTAATATTTTCCCAAATCACAACATGGTATCAGAGCCATGTGGCGGCTCCTCTACACCCTCTTGAAGCCATCAGCTTGATCGAAATCAACTCACCTGACGACGACGACGCTCCCACCTGACGACGACGACGCTCCCTTTCGACGACGATCAGAGATTTCGACGACGACGACGGTCCCTTTCGACGACGACGCTCCCACCTGAGTCCCACAACGACGACGACGACGATCAGACTTGAAGAGAGAGGAAGTGAGGGACGATCGGGGTTGGCAGTCAACGACGACGACGATCTGAAGCCATCGAGTCCTCTCTGATGCCGTCGAGTCGGTGAGGGTTCTGTAGCAGTCGCTGCCGTCGTTAGGGCTGATGAATCCGAAGCCCTTGGGTTTGAGATCGAGTAGAAGCGGCGGAGAAAACCCTAGTTCTAGGGTTTGAGAGAGACAGAGGAAAGAGAGGAAGTGAGGAAAAGCCAGAGAAGGGAAACATTTCGTGGAGATTGATTTTTCGAGGGGTGTCTCTTCCTTTATAAATTGTTTTGGGTACTGTTGCTGAAAGAGAAGGGAACCTTTTTAAATTGTTTTGGGTACTGTTGCTGAAAGAGAACAGAATCAACTATGAAGAGAGATGAATCAACTGTGAAGATGGGAACAAGAAACTATAGGGGTTGAAGGAGATCCTTTGATAAGTTAGGAATTGAAAGAGAGGTTGTTTTTTTTGAAAGGCAGTCAACTGTGAAGATGGGAACACCCGTGACAAGTCAGGAATTGAAGGAGATCCTGGAGGGGGTGGCCAGGGTATTTCAGACCAAACTAGAGGAGAATCCTAGTAGGTCAGTCGTGGTGGCATCGGAGTCGGCGCAGGTTATGCAGAGGGTAAAGTTATTGCCTAATGACATCAAGCTTGAGGGGACAAGAAACTATCTGAGTTGGTCTCGAAGGGCATTGTTGAACCTTCGAATCAAAGGACTTGAAAGATATGTGAAGGGGGAGTGCACTGAGCCAGAGAATAAGGCGAGTACTGAGTGGAACACATGGAGTAACACTAATTCTCTGGTGGTTTCTTGGTTGTTGACTTCTGTGTCTCCAACCATAGCTGGGATGGTGGAGTCTATCTCAAGTGCAGCTGATATCTGGAAGACATTGGAGGGGATGTACTCTGGAGCTGGGAGTGTGATGATGATGATGGAAGTGGAGGAGAAGATTGATGCTACCACACAAGGGGAGAAGACAGTCCACCAGTATGCAGCAGAGCTACGTCACTTATGGGCGGATTTGGATCACTATGATCTGTTATCACTACAAACCCCGGCAGATGTTCTTCTGGGAAGACAGTATCTTGAGCGTAGGCATGTGGCTCGCTTTCTCAAGGGCCTGAACCCAAAGTTTGAAGGAAGGAGGGCAGCAATGTGCCACCTGTCATCTCTCCCCTCCTTGGATGAGGCTATTGCATCGATGGAACAAGAGGAGATCAGACAGAAGGTGATGGCAAGCGAGGCCTCACCTGCTGTCCGCTCAGCATTGGTGGTTCCAGATGCTTACATCAGAGATGATAGAGAGTGTTACAACTGTGGAAAGAAAGGGCATCTCAGCTACAATTGCCCTCAACCCCGCAATACTGGTGGTAGCCGAGGGGGCAGATGACAGAGAGGTGGCTATGCAGGTCGAAGAGGCAGGGGACGTGGAGGCCGAGGAGTTGCTCACCTAGCTGTGACAGAGGAGTCACAGACTACTGCTGGGATGACTGGAGCTGAAATAACAGAGCTGGAGGAACTACGTCAGTTCAAGCTTCAGTCTGAGAGTTTGAAGGGCAAGGGACAAGTCACTCAGGATCTGGATAACACTACCTGCTTTGGTAACTTTGTTGGTTATGCTCATGCGAACAAAGGTACACAGGTTCAGGCACTTGCATCCACTAAAACTCATGTTGATTGGATCATAGACTCAGGTGCATCTAGGCATGTCACAGGAGCATCTAGTGAGTTTGCATTATATTATCCGAGTAAGCATTTACATCCTGAGACAGTTCAGACTGCTGATGGGACATCCCAACCCATCAGGGGTACTGGCTCGGTCCATTGTACTTCATCTGTTACATTGTCATCTGTATTGCATGTTCCTTCGTTTCCAGTTAACTTACTCTCAGTTAGCTCTCTCATTGATCAATTAAATTGCACCGTGTTATTTGATCGAGATTTGTGTGTCTTTCAAGAGAAGGAAACTCGTTCTACTTATAAAATGATTGGCCTTCGAAGTTTTGAACCATTTGCACTTGTTCATTCTGATGTTTGGGGACCATGTCCTACTACCTCTATTAGTGGTTTTAGATGGTTTGTTACTTTCATTGATTGTTATTCACGTATGGTCTGGATATACATGATGAAGCAGAAATCTGAGGTTTACAAATGTTTTCAAGATTTCTTGGCTTATGTGAAGACACAGTTTGGAGTGCAGGTGAAGATTCTTCGAACAGATAATGGGACAGAGTATGTCAACAAGGAGTTTGCGACCTTCATCTCTAGTCAGGGAATTCTTCATCAAACCACATGTCCAGACACCCCTGCCCAGAATGGGGTGGCTGAACGTAAGAACAGACATCTACTAGAAGTAGCACGTTCGTTGATGTTGACAATGAATGTGCCTAAGTTTTTATGGAGTGAGGCTGTTTTGACGGCAGCTTATTTGATCAACAGAATGCCATCAAGAGTATTAGGGATGAAGACACCATGTGAGATGCTCTTGGGCTCAAATGTTTTTGTTGTTCCACCAAGAGTGTTTGGATGCACATGTTATGTGAGAGATCACAGATTGATGGTGAGTAAACTGGATCCGCAAGCAGTTAAATGTATCTTTGTTGGCTACTCATCAAGTCAAAAAGGATACAAGTGTTGGTGTCCCACTGAAAGAAGGCTGTTTGTTAGTATGGATGTGACTTTTCGGGAGTTTGAACCTTTTTATGGGGAGAAGACGGAGTTGAGTTCCTTGTTTGGAGATGGCTCTACTGATGCTAGTAGAGAGGGGGAGAATGAGAATGATGTGCCTATGCCAGTGCCCACAAATGTTGATGTCCCAAGTCCCTCCTCTCCAATGTCTTCCTCATCTTCTCCACCTAAGTCGATAGGTAACGATTCCTTCCCTGATACTTCTAATACTCCTGTCTTGCCTCGCAGAACCTCTAGAGTCAATGCTGGAAAACCTCCAGCTAAGTTTGGTAGTTGGGATACTGACATTGCAAATTACATTTCATATGCATCTATTCCACCTGCATATAAGTCATTCATTGCATCATTGCATTCAGTGCCTGTACCTAACAACTGGCAGGTAGCTAAGCAAGATCCTAGGTGGTTGAGTGCCATGCATGAGGAACTTCAGGCCTTGAAGAAGAATGACACATGGGAGCTAGTACCTTTGCCAGTTGGAAAACGTGCTGTTGGATGTAAGTGAGTGTATACGGTTAAGCAAACTCCAGATGGCAAGATCGACAGATACAAGGCCAGATTGGTTGCTAAAGGCTACAGCCAAACGTATGGCATTGACTATGACGAGATATTTGCTCCAGTAGCAAAGATGAGCACTGTTAGAGTGTTGGTGTCATGTGCTGCCAACTTCAATTGGCCACTACATCAGCTAGATGTCAAGAATGCATTTTTGCATGGAGATCTCCAGGGGCTTCGCTACTTCTCAAGTAGTTGGGAAGGTGTGCAAGTTGAAGAAGTCTTTGTATGGGTTAAAACAGTCTCCGAGGGCATGGTTTGACAGATTCAGGTTGGCAGTCTGTGGTATGGGGTACAAACAGTGCAATGGAGATCATACTGTGTTTTACAGGCACTCCAAAACTCGTATCACTATCCTGGCGGTCTATGTTGATGATATTGTAATCACTGGAGATGATGCTGAGGAAATCTTATTGCTGAAGAAGAAATTGGGAGAGGAATTTGAAGTTAAAGATCTGGGGCAGTTGAAATACTTTCTCGGAATTGAGATTGTAAGGTCGCGAAAGGGTATAGTACTTTCTCAGCGGAAGTATGCTCTGGATCTTCTATCAGAGACAGGGATGTTGGGGTGCAGAGTTGCAGCTACTCCCATTGAGCAGAATCATAAGATGTATACCGAGGGTGGTGACCCGGTGAGTAAAGAGCAATATCAAAGATTAGTTGGACGGCTTATATATCTATGTCATATGAGACCTGATATTACTCATGCAGTAAGTGTGGTGAGTAGATATATGCATGATCCCAGAGAGCAGCATATGGAGGCAGTTCGCAGAATTCTTAGGTATAATAAAGGAAGCCCAGGAAAGGGGTTATGGTTCAGGAGTTCTGGACATCTGAGAGTCGAAGGCTATTGTGATGCTGATTGGGCGGGTTGTATGGATGATCGTAGGTCCACTACAGGCTACTGTGTATTTGTTGGAGGCAATCTCGTATCTTGGCGTAGCAAGAAGCAAGATGTGGTGGCCAGGTCTACAGCTGAGGCTAAGTACAGGGCTATGGCAGTTAGTCTGTGTGAGTTGATGTGGGTCAAAAACATATTATCTGAGTTGCGTCTGTTTAGAAGAGACCCCTTACAACTTTGGTGTGATAACAAATCGGCGATTAACATTGCAAACAATCCAGTTCAGCATGATCGCACCAAACATGTGGAGATTGATCGGTTCTTTATCAAGGAGCAACTGAATAAAGGGGTTCTGACTTTGAGCTATGTGAAATCAGAAGAGCAGTTAGCTGATTGTTTAACAAAAGGATTAGGTTCTAGAGAATGTGATATCTTTTGTAACAAGATGGGGATGATTGATATCTATCGCCCATCTTGAGGGGGAGTGTTGAGTTATTTAGATAGATTAAGTTAATTAGTTAATGTTATAAGGATCCTTTTGTAAGAATGCATTAATATAAAAGAGGGAGCTCTCTATGGGAGAAGTAACCCTAATATTTTCCCAAATCACAACAAAAACTCCTCCATCAATTCCTCTCCAAAAGAGAGGAAGAAGACTAAAACTAACTTTGCAGCCACGCTTGAGGCTCATCTAGTGCATGAGTTAGTATGAGGACCTAACAGAACATAATAGATTAAGCTACATGGTAATTATGATAACACGTGTGAAGATCCAAAATAGATAAAAATGTGCCACATCGCAAGTTATCGTGAATTGTACTTATCATAATCGAAACCCATCAAACTTCAGATGTATGGTTCACTGAGATCGACAAGAATTAGTCTAATTCATGATATCAAAAAAAAAACAGAAAATAAGATGCACAAACCTTTGTTGGATCCATGCCAAAACCGCCCATTTGCATCATGCGCTGCGTGTCATCCATCGCTACATAATAAGTAAATCACACATCAGTACCAAACTATAATAAACTTCAACCCAAAGGTATATTAAAATTCTTATGGGGACCATAAAAATGAATGTGTATGCATGAGATACTGACCATTTTCATCACCCAGAATAAGGCTGAATAGACCCCTCAGGCCAAAAAGATTGAGAAAATACCTGATGAAAAGTTGGGGAAAATATCAACTGTACTTAAATGGACAAAATGTGCATCAAACAAAACCCGAAGAGTAAAAGAGGATATCCTTTCATGAGATAATACCAGGAACGACTGCTAACGTAGCTCACATCAACAGTGCTTAGGTCAATTCCATTTTGTAGCATTGCTCTGAATCTCTGGGTTAATGGGAAAGGAATTTTTGCTGGAATTATGGTGTTAAAAGTCAGAAGCATATCAAGCACCCAGCAGGCCACAGAGAATAAAATATATATCAGAAGCCATCAGATAGTAAAATTAAATCCCTACTCATACTAGATTGATCGATGTAGAAAGAATTGCCAAGGTACACTTCTGCCAAAATGTGGAATAAATCATTGCAGAGTGTTTCTTCTTATAAGGCTTTTCCTCCGTTATGAGCTTACATTTTTTTGTCAACATATTCTTGTGTTATATATTTCTATAAATGAAATCCAAAGCTGATTTTGGTGGGAAAAAAGAGCAATCTGATACTAATATCTAAAGCGTAGAGTGCCAATCAATGTGTTCTAATCACTATCTAGATCTCCTGTTCCCTAAATTTTTCAAAAGGGTTTTCAGCTATAACAAACCTAAGTTCTTACCAACTTATTTTTGGGACCATATCTATAAAGAACTAAAACAAACATCACCTTACTAAGAAGCCTCGAAATGGATCTGATAGCCCATTTAGTTCTGTATACTTATCAAGCATGAGCTGTACGTGATGGTGTAATTATTTGAGGACACAAATCTTTCAGTTGGTCCACAATGAAAATGAAAAGTTCAATATCACATTCATTTTCTTGTCCATATATCCAGCAAAATTTCATCCTTGAGATCTCATGGAATTTCAACAACTGCAACCCTGTTATCAGTTTGTTGCATTTATACTGTTTTTGAGAGAAACTATGTCACAGATAGAACCAGGTAAAGCAAATATATGCTATTCTTTTTGTGCTTTCACAGAGCCATATTCTAACCAATTTGGTATGGACAATGCGACATAGGCTACAGAAACTACACAAGAATATGGATGAACTACCTGTAAAAATATCTATTATACAGTTTTTTCTGTATATATACCCCTCCAAATCTCAGTTATTTGCAAACCTAGTTAACTATCACCAAATCATCAACTTTGGAAAAATTACCCCCAAATGAACAAATCATCAATTTTGATAGGTTTATTTCTAACTACAACGCAAAAATAACAATAAAATAATAGATTTTTTTAGGCTAAATACTCATATTGGTATTTTAATTCCACCCCAATTTCCAACAAGGTATTTTAAATAGGCAAACCCGCTTTAAGACATTTTAATTGATCCAACTAATCAATAAGACATGGTTTCTCGTCGGCGGGCAAATTTCCGGCGAGATCTCGTCATGTGCATGGCACATGATGTCTCACAACTTGTTTTTAGCAGTGGTGACGGCAACAATCTCGTCATATTCAGCCGATTCGATGGGGTTAGCGATCTCAGGCGGCGTCATAACCATTATTTTATCCTATTTTGGGCTGAATATGATGAGATTGTTGCCGTCGCCGCTGCTAAAAATGAGTTTTGAGACATCACGTGCCATGCACGTGGCAAGATCTCGTCGGAAATTTGTCCGCCGACGAGAAAACATGTCTTATTGATTAGTTGGATCAACTAAAATGTCTTAAAGCGGGTTTGCCTATTTAAAATATCTTGTTGGAAATTGGGGTGGAATTAAAATACCAATATGGGTATTTAGCCGATTTTTTTATCACCATATCCGATGATTTGTTTGGGGGCTATTTTTTCCAAAGTCGATGATGTGGGGGTAGTTTTGCAAAAAAATACTGAGATTTTTGGAATAGTTTTGCAATATGCTCGAATTAAGGGTTGTGTGTGTGTTGGTGGGGGGGGTATGTGTAAACCTATTATCTAATGGATACTTTGCACAATTCAAGCAAGGAGATTCTAGCACGCATGAAAGATATTCAACACTTTCAACTTTCAAGCACTAGTAAATAAATTTGAAACCTAGTGGAGGTTATATTCACAGCTTAAACAGAAAAGAAACTAGAAACATAAGTCAGAGAAACCCATGAAATGCAACAATTCAAGGGGGAAACTGTTAGGCCCTAATCAGTTATCAGATAAGAGTAATAATAGCTCTTTCCAATGATGTGGGTGAAGTATTACCTGCTACAAAACCAGAGAAGAAGAAGTTCACCCAAGCAAAAGTGAGAGTCTGAAACATAACAAGAAAATTAGATTAAATTGTGACTGAGTTTCAACTAAATATACCGCTTTACCTGTGGAATGATCATCGAAAGATTTTTCTTCATCATATCCATAGCCATGTTAGGATCTGAAAACATTTGCGCCTGTGGATTTGTAGCTTGGCCTTTTGGCACATGCAACAAACCATTCTCCTGCATGCCAATAACATATACTTATTAAACCAACGAGCCTGTGGGACCAAAATGAACTTTAGTATACACGATATAGTTCAAGAAAGCTTTGTGGTTTGCAAGGTAACATCTTAAAAGTTGTATTTCAAACTACGCCCAAGCTCAACAGAGAAGTTACTAATCTTTTAAGTAAAACCATTTCTATGGCTGAAATTCATAATCTTTCACAGAAGGGCATCTTTCTTTGAGTTGCCCTATTCGACTTTATTTCATCGATTGAGATCGTTAAGGGAATAAATCAATAACCCTTTTTTAAGTTCAACAACTTACAACTTCCAACCATAAGCAACTAATTTGCCCACACATCTAGGTAAATCTGATTGTCCTAATCTGAGTGATCATATTTTTTTTATCATAAGCATCAAATCGTACAAGATAATCAAGGTATAACTTGAGAAAGGCAATTTTTGATTTAATACCATAAATTTAAGTAAGTTATACAATGAAAGCTTCTAAAAGATTAACATTCTTTCTAAGGAATATAGAGATCAGCACGTTGAGATATAATAGATGCAATTACTCAAATATTGATTTTAGCAAAGACTATTTTTTTTTTAAAAAAAAAGGGGATAAATATCAATCAGAGTTACCTCGTTCGTGTAATAAGCCTTTCGCAAACGAAAGGACTTGGCCGGGATGAAATTTGCGGCCGCCCTCAGATTCCTTGCCCTAATAATCAACTGCCTGAAACCAAGAGGAGTTCGAATTAGTTCAAATCAATAGCTAGGGTTAGGGTTTCGTGATCACGTACCCTTCTTTGACGATCTTTTCGTCGGCGGTTTGGGAGGATCTCATGAGCTTGCCGACGAAGTATCGGAGGACGCCGATGAGAACCATGACGACGGAGAGAGGGATCAGTACCCAGTCTCTGATGGCCGTATCGAGAACTAGATCCTCCGCCATGACCGGTGATGTGCTTTCTCTATCTGGATTTGGGTTTTTCTCTCTCTAGATTTCAGGGAGACGAGAAGAAGAGAGGGGAGAGAGAGAGAGAGAGGAGATCTACGAATTCAACTTGCTCTAGTGTATTTGAACGGTTGAGATCAATTGGGCACAGTAATAGATAATCCGATAGGGCTAATTGCATATTAGTTTCCGTCATCATCGATGATAGAAACTTCCTCAAATCATACGGATCCGGATCCTCTCCTAATGAAAACCTCCTAGTATCTCCTGATAATAAGATCCTATCCTTTTATTTTCATCATGGTCTTTCATTTTCTCACCCATCCTTGTGAGCTCTCCTCCCAACTCTTCACAATTCTTCATTAGGAAATATTAGGATGAGGAGAGGATCCCAATTCAAATCATAGGGAGCGTTTGGCAACCGTGATATTTTTGTCGTTTCTTTTTTTTCCAAAAAAAACAACCGGGGCGTTTTTTTGACTTGACCCTTTATAAAATCCAAAAAATAAACACTTTTATCAAAACATCTAAAAGGTGTTTTGAGATTCCGTTTTTCATCTAAGCCACGCCGCCGCCGCCGCTATATAAATAATAACTATAAATGATGTTTTCAAAACATGTTTAAAAAAACATCATAGCATGGTGTTTTTCTACAAAAACACTACAATAAAATCATTTTGATTACCAAACACACCCTTAGATATTCATCCCATACTGCTTTTTCAGCAGTTACAAATTGCTTCGTTTCATCCCATCCAAAACCACTGCAGTTGAGCATATCAAACACAATACTGAATTATGTCTTAAGAGTTTTCATCCTTGATCTGATATGCGGATCATCCTTTAACCCCGAATTGGGTAGTGAAATGGCAAGTAATCTCTCAACAGTATTATAGTGTTCAGGCTTGAAACCACGATCAGCATTGTACTTTTCAGTTTGGTGTAACTCCAACAATGCATCAACCAACTTCTGGTTAACATACACCCAAAAAATTTGTAGCAATTTCACCGTTTCGTGTTCGATACCTAGATTTTTCCTCCACAGCTACCCTCACCCTTATGTAAGTCCCATCTAAAGCTCCAAGACAATTCTAAACATTAGGAAAATTTTAATGTGTTAGATTACTTATAAAAATTGATAAACACAAATGCTACTTATATTGTAGATTACCTTAAACCATTTCCACCTCGCATCTGTTGAGTCAATCGGCAGTGGCTCGGGTTTCTTAATCAAAATATCGTGTAGATGTATCACGGCGTGTAACACATGAGTAAAATACCGACTACTAGTTTCCCTTGAACGTTGGAACATTTGTTTTATGACTCTGATCTTCACATGGTATGCGGGAATATGTATAAACATTGCTACTTGCTCGTCTACCTGTAAGGATCGCGAATTTTGATACTAGTTAAAATAATTTTCTAGCATTTTAAAATATTTAATTATGATTTTTAAAAGAGTATTTATATTTTTCTCGAATTTCTACAATTTTCTATGATTTAAAGTCTAAGTTTAATATTTGTTTAAATGATTTAAATATCCATAAATTTATTTAGTGCAATAAATTTTTTTGAAATTTATCCGTTATGTTACCGATACTATTATGTATCATTTTGAATAATACGTGGTATTATTATTATTATTACATATATTTTGTATAATACGTTGTATTATTAATTACGTATTATTTATATAATTTGTTGTATTTTTTTTACTGTTACATATTATCTGTTGTATTAGTATAACTGGTACGTTTTACTGTGTATATAAAAACTCATACCCCCTTTCTCTCTCGTGATTTTTCCGCCGCCACCATTATCATCATCTCTTTCGTTCTCTCTCTCAACCAATAA